CCATGCCAGGTACGTATATAAACTATTAACTTCAAAATACAATTCCACAAAAGCGCATGCTCGCAACCTTCGACCATATGCGAAGTGGAACTCGAAGTAATACCAAATATTCGGCTGTTCTAAAACACTTACTACAAGCCTATAGCCAATCTAAGGCGACAGAGAGACCAAGCTACAATCACTGTCCAGTGTAAAAGTTGGCTTTGATTGAGCTACCAGGCTACCACCACTGCCATGTGAGCAAATCTCTATGTGAGTGGAGTGAACAAGCTACCACTACCCAGTGAGCAAAATCGTATGCACCGTGAGTGCGTGACCAAACTACCACCATACTCCACTGAGTCCAGTGAGCAAAATCGCTGCGTACGTTAGTTAGTGACCGAACTACTACCATGGCAAAATGTACACTACGTGTAGTGTAGTGTTATGCCTTGCTACTAATGTTGCCGGAAGTGCTCCAATCTAAAATGAATTTCGAGTATTCGAAATTCAAATACACTACCGTTTGAATTCCGAGTAATCGGAATTGCAATTGCAGGCATTCCAATTCCGAGTAATTGCAATTTAAATGGACGCTGTTGTAATTTCGATTATTCGAAATCTAATTTCCGACATTAGAATTCCGAGTATTCGGAATTGCAATGCATATCATATGAATTTTAAATAATTGGTTTTTAAAAAAGTTTTATTTAAAATTTCGATTTTAATTACAATGTACCATCAAACTACAAACTACGGAACTGGTAGTTGTACTGCGATAATTACTTTAAGGGAAGTAGGAGCAAAAGGAAATTTCTTAGAGAATTAAGAAAGAGCCTTTGCCTATTTGGCACCCGCCTGGTGTGTTGACTGTTAAACGATGATATACATTTATCAGTTCGGCGCACAATAAACTCTCCATATCGAAAATTACAACAAAAATAGTTTTCCGTTTGAAGTTACCCCTGTTCTGGCTTTCACCGTCGCAAATGTAAAGACCAGCGATGTTGACTCAAACCTCAAAGTTAGCGCAGTCAACGGCTGCGTGCGGCAACTACAACGACGACGCATAAAAATTTGGTCAGCTTTTCTTTGGGGATTGGGTGAAGGCACCAGCACCGGAACACAGGTCATCGGCGCAACCGGCCCCGGCGTCCTTGCTAAAATAACCTGCTCTTCACAAAAGAGGGTGATTGGGAGGGAAGAACAACTTGTTACATGTAGTTCACCTTTACCTGATACAGCAGCAACTGAAATGCATTAAATACAAATGCACCACTTCAAGTATCGTTGTTCCACATCCGCATTGCTCCTCCTGTTTGTACATCAGGATGTAAATCCTGTATTTTACTTTTACACTAAAAAAAGTGTAAAAATAAAAGCAAAACCGGGTTGGAAATACTTGTAATTTATTTTTAAAACTGCACCAACTTGACCGCCCAGAGCTGTATATACCCAGACTTCATCAGCAGTACCGGCCGGTGGTACCAACCGGAAAAGAATGCTGGATGATTTTAAAGCTCTATATAACTCTAGATGTGGCTATAGACGCCACTTGGTTTTTTGTGCATAATGCGCAGGAGATAACGACTGGTAACGTGTGTCATCACGATCCGGAACTTTACGCTCGAAATGGTCAAAACTACCATACCGCACGTATTCAAGATACCGCGCTGCACAGCTCCGTTTTTTAACATACCCGTTCTTATCTCTATGAATCATAACTTACGCACCATAGTTCGCTGCACTGGCCGTATACCAGCCAACAGAGAAAGATGTCTGACTTTTCGTATTGTTAGTTTCCCAAAAAATTCCGGATTTTTTATTTGGTTTTTATGAGAGTTTTTGGTTAAAATTGTGGGCTGCATGACAGGTTGCAACGATAAAAGCCGGTTAACTTTTAAATGTAGCTCACATACCGCTCTTTCAGAAACAAAAATGATCCAGATCAGCTTTTAATGCGCTAGTCAGAAATATGGCCTCATTTACTATGCTTGCGGAATGCACGAGAATTACTCGTGCGGAGTTTCAGTTATTCCGTGCACTGGCCAAATACGGTTGCTAGAATATGGATGTTCCTTACTGTTAAAAAAGGAGAAACTCTATCCGAAACGGTAACGTTTTTTCCCACCTATGTTCTTAATTTCGCATCACCGCTTTCAGAAGGTTGGCCATTTTTTGTGCTTAACATTGGCTATTATGCTTTATGGTCGTAAGTTCATAACAACTGTGCAATTGATAATAATTATAACAATGACGATGCAGGGCTATGGTTACATAACGCAATATCACAGTATTTTTAAAATGGGTACCTGTAAGAAATAAAGATGGTGTAAAAAGGGGTGCTTATGTAGCTAAAATAATTAACAAACCTGGGTGGGAGGTGCATATAACCGTTGCTGTTTCACATCGCCCTCAGTATTACATATGTTTATGGTTACGCGCGAGAGCCTCCCGCGCTATGAGTTTCGGCTACGCGCGAGATGCTCGCGAGAGCATCTCGCGCTATGAGTATTGACTACGCGCGGGAGTTTTTCCCCGCACAAAAAAACTACTAACAAAAGTTTGAATTGTGTATTCAATACGACAGGGCAACTAATAATTACGGCAAGGTCACCTTTTAGTGATGTAAAACCAAAATCTGACCTTACCGGCGTTTTACATTTTTTGATAATTGGACTTTTCACAACTCAGCCGTTATGGCGTCAGAACTTCAAGTGGGAAACAGTGGAGCAAAAGAGCCAGCGAACACATCAAGTGCATCAAGTCGTTATAAATCCTGGCGGCAATGCCAAAGCATCAACGACGCATCCGCTTCATGACACGTTCCCGGGGAAGGCTTTCTTGTGGATAGTAGTCATATTACCATCCTTACGTTCCCTTACAGCTCAGTGAAGCCGGTGTGAAAGAAAGCTGGCGCTTACCGCCCACACCGGCGGAATTCAATTCCCACAAAGAAAAGCATTACAATAACCCTGAAAAGTTACTGCCAGGCGATGGTGCGTCTTAAGCTTGTGGTTGGCGTGATGGATGTCACCAGGGCAGCCGAACATTCCCGAAGCCGCAGCAGAAGCCGATTTGCCAGAGCCAGAGCATCCTACTGTAAGCAACGCTTTCGCTCCTGATTTTACGACGTTCAGAGTCAGACCTCGCGGAACCATTAAGCCCCGCTGTCGGCCGTCGAAAGAAAGGCGCCATGAACGGTTCAATCAGACAGCCCAAACGTCATCGCAACCAGTCCAAGCCACGCCCCAGCCTGCCGACACACCGATTCCCGCTTACTCAAACAGTCCCTCCGCAGAAAGGAACGATATGAGCATGGCGAAAACAAGCGGCTCGAATTTGCAGCTAAGACTCCTTAACGCATGGACCTATCTGCTGCTCAATTTAATTTCCTCAGAAAGGCGGCCTAGAACTTCCTGCAGAGTTGGATCTGTACCAAAATAACGACCTGTGCTTCGCAAGGCCACGTTTCCACATGCGGATGCATGGAGAAAACCTTGTGCAGTCCACGTTTACCGGTTTAACGGATTGTTTAACGCACCACTATGTTTGCGCATTGTACAGCTGTGACATCCCCGGTCTTGTCCGGATCTACTATTCAACGGGTCAAATGCCCAGACCTGCTGAAACTACAGTGGCATTTCCTGTTTGCCCATCTGGCATCTGGACAGCAAGGGTCAGATCAGCATCGAGTACGACCCAGTTTACGGGCAATCACCTGGAGGAAATAAGTGCCTAGTATGACTGTATACTCGTTTTGCCTATGACCTGTTATTGGGCAAGCAGATTCAAAACGCCAACTACGCCCGGGAGGACGAACTGCGCCACTGGTTTTTAACCATGATCGAAACCGGCACATTGGCGCCTCCTCCCAGATCGCGGGGTCGTAATCCGTGAATGTAAACCACGCTGAGAGGTCATAACTGCACAGCAAAAGCAGCAGATACGGTGGAAGTACGCCGGCGGTTGCATCTGCCCAGCGGATACAGATCAGTTTCGCTGTGAATATTGCTCTGTTACTAAACGATACAATAACTGTCGGTTCTGTTTCTTAAATTCACCATCTCAAGAAATGATGAATTCGACGTACGTAGACGTATGTTCGAGAAATGAACTGAAAAACCGTACAATTTCCAGTTTTTGCCATAACTAGTGGTCGAAAGTATTCTGCAAGATATTCTCTCGCAGTCTACTGTAAGATAATCATGATTCCAGTCTATTCTGTTAGTACTAATTAAATTTCAAAGAAATCGAAATCCAGAAAAGTCACGTTTAAATTCCGAATATTCGGATTTTATTTTACCGCAGTTTAAATTTCGAATACTCGAATTATATTGCCCCATTTTGAATTTCGAGTAATCGGAATTCAAATTGCGGCCTTTTAAATTTCAAATATTGTATTTGAAAATCTAAAAAAATATATTTAGATTACTTGGAATTGCAAATACTTGAATTTGAATTCCGAGTACTCGGAATTGGTATCGGAATTCTTTCGCATGCAATTTCGAGCACTTGCGGCAACACTACTTGCTACTACTGTCCAGTGTACAGAGCCGTGTAGGTGAGTGATTGACAGAACTAGCATCAGTGTCCAGTGAACACAGATAATTGAGTGACTGACCGAACTACTACTGTCCGGTGCACGGAATCGGATAAATGATTTAGTGACAGGACTAGCACCAGTGCCGCTGAATAGAGCTTGCTAGATGAGTGAATGACTGAGTGACACAATTACCGCTACTGTCCAGTTTATTCGTATAAACAAAGCATTTGTAGAAAAAAATGGAATGCGTCGGAGTGAAAATGATAAACTGATTTTTAATAAAAATTCCGTTTCTACGCTTTCACAATTTACCCATTATGCTTTGCCGAATGTAAGATGCTAACTACTTGATAAACTAATCCAAAACCTGCGAATGGAGTTATGAACCGACCGCAGACCACAGGCAACGCGGAGGCGAAGCCGAAGCTGTTTCTTGTTTATATATTAGCGTGTCACTACCTTGAACCGCTAAATCTCCAAAACAAAACGGACAGACTGCCAATCACGATCCGGAAAACAAACCACCAGATAGTGAGGCCTTGTAAGTTCTACATAAACCAGTGACAGTCGGCAAAACGGCCACAACATCAGCAGCTGCGGCAACGAACAACACAGCTGTTACTGCAGAAGCCACGCTTCACCGGCGAGTTAAGCAGCAGTATAGCCTAACGGTCAGACAACAATGAAGAGCCCAGAAAAGCGTGCTGCATTTAAATTATCCCTGCGTATAACCTTCTGCGAGTGCCGCATATACTGTCTTTTCAGCTTAATCCCCCAAAGCGCCCCATGGCGAGCGGCGCTCGCGCGTGGTGCCCATGAGGTTGGGGTGGAGGCGGGAGTCCTTGGGGGGCGGGATCTGGCCCTCGGCGGGGATCTGTTGGCCCTTGCGGTAGATCTTGACGGCGGCGTGGATGTCCTTCTGGCCCAGGTCGTTCTTGGCGATGCAGCGGTAGTTGCCTTCGTCCGTGCGCTTCGCCGACTGGATCAGCAGCCAGCTGGTCACCTCGAACTTCTCCGGCCCGCCACGCAACTGCACCGAGAAGTGCTCGTCGTCGCCTATTAATAAATCAACATGACTGTTTACTCACATACAGCGAAAGGTTACGGAAACAACAATGTTTACAGGCACCATGGTTTCGATGAAAGCGTCCTAGGCAGAATATACTAATTATCGCGCTTAATTATTTGTGGTATCGTTGAGATTAGGTATAAAGCACAAAACAAAGCGGCGCCGATCAAAGAAGTCGGACATATTCATTACCTCCTTTGCAGGGTCCTATCCGGTGGAGCATGATGCGCTGCTTCTCTCGTCGGCGTTCTGCACCTATTGGCTGCCGCAAAATTCTGCCGCAAAAAAAGGCATCGTCTGCTCCTAACCTGGTTACATAAGGCGTTATTTGAAGGATTGCAAGCATTTCAATAATCAAACTTGCAAATAATAAGCCACAGGTCGGTTTCTGTGAAAGTGATGAGGTTTTAATCTTCGGACTCCTCATCGCCCTCTTCCTCTGGTTTTTTCTTCTTTTTGGCTTGCTGCTGCTTCCAGTACCAGTATCCTCCGCGGCAGCGCCCGCAACAACCTGCAGCGAAAAAGTTTGTGCTTGCCAGTTGTTTTCGGCAAAACGAAAACAAAGTCGATTTGCCGGTTAACGATTAATGCTCACCGTAACGCCTGCGATTATGCCGACGTACATCATCGTACTGTCGCCGCCTGCAATGAACGAAACACTACCGGGTAGCGTGCAAAAATTCTCAGCCTTAGACGTTTAAGATACGATATAACGATTACTGGGAAAACCGACAGGAAATCTAGCGACAGTACCATGCGAAACAATTGGTTGGTACAGTACGGTCACGTTCAAAATCTTGGCCGAACCTAGACAAAGCCTGCATCCTCACCTGCTGCAGCGTCCTCATCGGAGGTCCCATTGCCAGCTGCTCCCACTCCCGTTTTCTGTCCGGACCCAGCAGCACCACCCGCACCGGAACCTTTCACACCGCCGCTGCCGCTGACGCTGCCGTCGCCCTGACCGCCTGACGTCCCATCCCCGCCGGCTCCACCACTGCCGCCACTGCCGCCACTGCCGTCTCCCGTGCCGGAACGGTGGAACCATCACCGCTACCACCACCGCCACCACCGCTTCCTCCTGGGCCAGGTGTCCCTGTCAACAAGGAATGATGCACTTACAAGCCAAGCGGAGAAATTCGATTGCGCTGCTCTACGTGATTACCGATTGCGTCAGTGCCGCCCGTGCTAACGTAATTATTGGGATTATTGGGAGGAGCAGCAGTCACTGTCTTGGTAGAACTAGGTGCTGTATGTAACGACAACAAAAGTGTCAATGCAGTTCGTACTCCAGGTTGGAAATGCTTTTTGTAATTGTCTGTGTGGATGTAACGATAAAGTTGCCGTATTATAAAGGTCACCGCGGAATGCAGAATGCAAGCAGCGCAAACACTTGTGTATTAAAAATGCTGGTAAAAGCCATCGTCTAAGGCCACCACTGGGTCTCGCAACCTACCCTTTAATAACACCATTCATACCTAACAATCATATTTTTATGCACAACCGCAACGCGTCTACAGAGGAAGTGTGTCGCAGAAGTACAGATACGCACGTTGGTTGGTGTATGGGTTAGGAAAGTGCGCCCGTTTCGACTTTATTGCTTAATCAGTGGAAGCCAAGTTTCCGTACGAGGAAAGCGTCCGTGCTGTCAAAATAGAGCTCTTAAACCTCGCTCACATGAAACTCACAGGGAGACAATAAGCCCGCAGTGTTAGACCAAGACTGTGCCGTTGCTTAAATTACAATTTCTAATTTCTTTAGGTTTCGCCCTTGACAAGCTTTAATACCATTGCAATTTTATTTACATATTATACCATTCGATAGCACTAGTTTCGTAAATTATTTAACCAAGTGTGTTAGCTAACCTAGAGAAAGTTTTACTTCCTTTACATATTAGATCTAGGGAACAGATCTTGCTACAACGTCTATCGACAAGCGACGACAACGAACTGGAGAGGTATGCGACACCACAATACCTCTTTAGGCTGTCTTTATCAACCCTATGTTTCGTGACACTTTCGTCGTAGTGCTCGTCCTGCATTGCGTGGCGTGCTGCGTGGCACAGTGGCAGTATTGGTTGCACACTTTTTTATTAAGCGTTCTGTTGATCTAAATCAACAGACACAAGAGGTCAGATTTTAGTCAACGGCAGCTGAGAATGTATTTTGGGACGGTTAGCTAACGGCGACGGTTTTTGCGGTGGTAAAGGCAAAGCCAAAAGTATACTTGGCCGAACCGTTAATGAGTAACCAAAGCCGGCTAATATAACGAGTACATATTACTGCTTTATTGATAACCTTGTTATTTTTTAGAAACGATGAAATGAAAAATTAACAGATTAAAATTACCATGAACAATCTGACCAGTTTGGGTACTTTCATGCCGCTTATTACTTACTTGTCTTCGACAGTCTGTCCGCTGTTCTTTATCGATTATCAAAGAGCGACGAGTAGCCTGAGTGTGCCTGAATTCGAACGCCTGATTACGAGTAATACTCGTACCACGGTGTAAAGGGTAGAACCTACCTATCTATCCACCTTGCTCGTACAGTAATACGAGTATTGTATACTAGGCGCCGGAGACTATAATGTTACGGCTCCGTAGTACTGTGGTAGTACTACAACTGCAAAAGGCGAGTTTTCTTTGAATCCGTAATTGGACGTTACCAGCTTCTGCACCGGTTTGTGTAACACAAAGTCAAAAGAAAAAATATGTACAGCGTCGGGAACTACTGCATTTCTGGAGTGCGCCATCTCATAATCTCTATCTCCGTAGAAAAGCCGGCACTGGCAGTAATTGCGGACCCACGATTCAGTAATGGATTCCCATTCCCATTCTTGATGATTTTTTCCTTTATCGATTTTCACCTCCTCTGTTCTTTTAATGCTTTGGTGTAATGGTTCAATGCTTTAATGGAAGTGGCCCGGTACATGATACCAAATTTTTGTACATGCACGAAAACGAGCACTTTCGCTCACGCCCAAACTAGCTTCTTTGCTTTAATTGTTTTATGACTTTCTGCAGTCAGATAATTTGTCTAGGCCACTGTAGAAGCAGAAACCGTTTGTGCGCACAACATCCGGTTAAGGAGTTATGAATGTAAGAATTTTCCAAAAAGTTTAAATGCATCCCAGTGAACCCAAAGCCTTATTAGCAGTCGAATAAATCGATCCTTTAAACTCCGCCCTTAAACTTTGCATGGAAACGCGCACATGTGCACAAAGATCGTCTTTTCACATGAATTACGGTTATGTCATTATTTCGATGGGGGGGGGGGGAGAAATGTTCAGATAGAAGTAATGCGTAATTAAGATCTAATCTATGTTGCAAGCTCTTGTTGTGATTTGGGTGTATGTGTTTATTACAGAATGGTTGTTATATTATGTTTTCTTGTGATATTTCTTAAAAAGCTTGGCCACTTGCAGTACGGTTAATAATGCGAGTGTTTCTGGGGGCTTACGTCTAGGAGGAGGCGATTGCGGAATTGGTCGGGTATTCCAGTCGGCGGGCGCGGCGGTCTTTCCGGGGACAAAGTTGTATACGCGCAAATCGATACCCTCATGATCACCGGGCACGTGCCAAGCCAAACACGGCGTCAACAGCAATAAGCATCCCACACTGCGCCACGATCGTGTTGACACAAGAAGGTATAGGGAGGCCAAGCCCATTAATTGATGCTACCTACTATCGCGATTAAACATTCGCTCCCAGTTGCGTTCTTGCGCTGTCAATGTTGCATTATAAGAGTATGACGCAAAAATGGAGGTTGAAAGGACTGATCAGCAACTGTCGTTCCTTAATGCCGAGCATCGGGTCACATCACTGTCACATCATCCCAAGATTCTAATAAGGTATTTCTAATTATTTCATTAATTCGGAGGCAACAGGCCCGCCGCTGTACGTCTGCTGCACACTGGTAATTCAAGAAAAATGTTGTCAAAATTCTTTGCGTTTCTTATCTCGGTTGCACATTCAGTTCTTCAAAATGAATTGTTAACTAGTTTGCAGTTTGCTCAGGGTAAGGTCAAGGACTCTAGGAAAAGCCTAACTATGAAGCACAGCAGCCCTTAAGTTTTTATTTGCTGACCTTTGGGTCATTTGTGCTCTGCCAACGAAACCTTCAATTTTTAAATCTTTTTCTTGCTGCTTTACTAAACTAAATTTATGGCTGTTCTTCAAGGTTGAATCTCGTTACCTTACAGACAGTGCTAATGATACCGATCACTGGTTGTAATTCGATCACTGCTTATTCCGCCATGAGAACGATTCTGTACATCAGCCCGTACCGTTGCGAAAGTATCCTACAGAAATGATCATTAAATACGTGTTATGACGCTATTACTGACTTATATTAATTTGGCATAATATTATTTGCGTTGTACATATATTTACGTAATGAGACGTTTTGGCCCATGTGTCACTGTTTATTATTAAATTTATAGTATGACACTGAGAACAGTTTCTGCTGCATATTACTGCTGCTGCTGCTGCATTCACATGCAAAACGCCAGGAAAGTACAATACTTAAGCTTGAACTATAATATGCTGTAGTTCATTTAAGCAGTAACACAGCCGTTCAATAAGTGTTCTTCTTAATTCAGCGCTTGTGAAAATATTTGCTGTTGCTAAACTACAAGATTTGTTCTAAATACGTATGTACTTACCTTAATAATGTTTCCTTGTCTGCATACTTACGTAGTTACGTGCGTATAATAACGTGCAATCCAAAATTTAATGGTTTTAACAAAATTTTACGGCACTAGATAATCGTGTAAGCAGAAGTACAGAGTACTGTACTGTAAAACGTCAAGTACCTGCCTGATAAAAATTCCTGTACATCGCTATTGTGGCAAAGCTACTTGCTCACTTTACTACTTGTAAGTACTAATTACGGTTTAATAATTTTATACTTTATTCAGGTTTTGATTTTTTGTTTTATTGTGTGCTGTTTATGAGGCCACGCTGTACATTCGTGCAGCATCAACAACAACAAGTTTGTCAGTTCTAAAACAAACTTGCAGTAGTTAAAATAAAATTTTGAGCCTAGCCTTACCATGGTTTATGATTATCTGTTACGTATTATACATGCTACATTATCTAGCTTTTTTTGTTACATTACTTAGTGTTTCTAGTTTCTTGTTTCTTGGTTCTTTGTTTTTGTTTCTTAGGTTTTTTGTGTTTTATCGGTTTGGTTTGGTGCTCCATTATCTAGATTACTGTATTTTTGGTTTGGCATTGTCAGGCTTTAGTAGTCAGCTGGCTTCAAAATCGGCAGTTAAACAATATAATTTTGGATTGTAAAAGGGCCCAGGTTACGGTTACAGTACAACTAATATCCCACAAAGTCTTAATACAGAGCAGTAAACAAACTTGTACAAGCAAATGCCCTTTACATTTAGAATCAAATAACCGATAAGTTACCGTAGTAGAATAATACAACGAAAAACAATGAAACAACAGCTGGCTTTAATTGCAGCAAATGGCTGTCTATTACTAACAATGCCTAATTATACGTATTTTGCGCAATATTTTATTGTAGCTGACTTCTTCTTTTTATGAGTGCTGTCTCAATGACGCTGCAGAAAGGAAGGGCAGTAAGCAGCCACATCCGCTATATTGGCTGTAGCAAAGCAAGCTATGTTTGTAAGATGCTGGACGAAGTGGGCCGGCATCGCGGCGCGCAACCGATGTGGAGACGAAGACGGATGCGGGCGACGCGGGCGGCGGGATGCTGTAGCTGAATGTGCTCCAGTTAAAACGGCGCAAACACAGTAGCGCAGACGCGACTGAAATGAGAGGAGAAGAGAGGTACCGGTACATGTAGATACATGTGTTGCATCTGCTGCAATATAATTATATAAATATCTTGCGAGGCATACTCATACGCATATAACCGTTTATAAATAGCCTGGTTCAAGAATCGACTGCGATATTATGTAGTACTGTACGTGCATATAATTCTAATTGTTAAAACTGAAAATTCTCCCAGCCTACTGCCTGCTGCCTATGGTAGCGCCACTGGCCACCGCAGACGTACGAGTACTCGGCCGCTACAGTTACAGTTCCAGTCGACCGCAGTGCATCATCGCCCTCTCAACCGCCGGCTCGTCCTCCTGCAGTTGGAGGAACCCATGGACATGCAGCGCGCCTGCCCGGTGTGCTTCTCCGATCCGCGGAAGGACATACCGCTCTCCGATGCCAGCCGCTACATGAATCGCCTTTATAGTGGACAGTGTGAGCTGTACGCACACACCGGCAACAGTTACTCCTTTACCTGGGATCCGCCGAATCCATATGCCCCTTCCAACGATTATTATTCAGGTATGCAGCACCACATTGAGCAACCACCGTGGGACATCCGTTCATGAACCGCCAAGCATGCGCAAGTCAATGTGCCGGCCAAGGCACGCTATCTCCACGGGCCGTCGCTACCGGGATTTTGTGCCGGCGGAGTTCCGCGAGCAAGGTGGTGCATGGTAAGAAACGCATTCAGTCGCGTTAGACCTTTCTTGATTTCCTGTTGAATTTGCCTCTGTGTTAATGCTGACTGTTTATTTGATTTTCAGCGCGGCTTTGGTTTTCCGCTGTAAGTATCATATTTCCCTTTACTCCTTTGCAGTGCACTGCGGCAAATTCTCTATGCATATATGTATTATATTTATACAAGAAACAGCCTCGGCTTCGCCTCCGCGTTTCTTGCGAACCCCAGTCTACGGCCGGTTTATTCAAAGGATTTCATTCAGTTTTCTTAAGTGTCCAAGTATTGTAACAAATTAAGGTTTTCTTAGATCTTTTATTCAGTTTCTTAGATTCCCGGTTCTTTAAAAGCGGTTTCTCTCCGCTGGATTGAATACTTCTGCATAAATGGAACTACTTGTTCCATCTGGCGTCCGACAGACCTCGGGGCGAAATGTCACAGTGGAATGTGATGTCCTAGCGACCAAATATCCCGCGACGAAAGGTGGGGAACAAGTTGAATTAAGAACTGGCGGCAAAGTGTCTTCGTAAACAAATATCTCGTGACTAGCTGCGGTGCTGCCGTTTATGTTGTGGCTTGCACCGTTTACAAGGCCTCACTATGTGGTGGTTTGTTTTCCGGATCGTGATTGGCAGTCTGTCTGTTTTGTTTTCGAGATTTAGCGGTTCAAGGTAGTGACACGCTAATATATAATACAAGAAACGGCTGCGGCTTTGCCTCCGCGTTTCTTGTGATCCACGGCCCGAATCAACGAAAAGCTCGGACTGCTCGGTTGCTCATTCATGCACCGTTTTGATCACTGGATAGTGATAATAGTTCGCTCACTCACTGAGGCAATCAGCGGTTTTGCTCACTAGTAAGTGTTGATAGTTCGGTAATTCGCTCTCTCAGTTAGCAATTTTGCTCACTGGACAGTGGACAGTAACGGTAGCTCGGTAACTCAGTCACTTCGCCAGTTAGCGACTCCGCTTCCTGGACAGACGCAGTGGTAGCTCCGTCACGCCCTTAGTCAATTAGCAATTTTGCTCGCCGGACAGTTGTGGTGGCTCATTAACTCAATTCGTGAATGTGCTCGATCGCTGGACGGTAGTGGTAGCTCGGTAACTCACTCGCTTTAAATAATAAATGCGGCTCTTTGCTTTTAGCAGTTGTTTAGAAGAGTGTCCTACCAAAATCGAACAGGCAGATAAACTTACCATACGAGTACTTAAGTGTAGCGCACTGTCCTTGTGGTTAAAGCCTACCGTTGTTTTACAAATGTGCTGACAACAAAAATCGATAGGTTGACTTTAAATTACTTTCTTAAATTTGTGGTTGATGTTGTACGAAAGTACTTAAGTTCAATTTATTCCGTTTAATTTGCGTATTAATTAATTGATAATTACGTATTGTATCCAGGCAAAATTTTTCTAAGTTTCAAGGTCACCTTGAACCTGGGTTGGATCGTTTTCGGCATCGTGCCGGCACGATTCTGATAGGACGTATTCAGAAACAAAAGCATGTGACGCAGTTCTGGACCCCGGCCGATCTAACTGTGGTACCGGTTTTTTTTAAAAGTTTTTGGTTTGTGAGATCTCCAGACTGTGGGGAGGCCGCGCGTAATACTGATCTTTTTCTTAATACATCTTTTTCTTATACTGATCTTTTTCTGATCTTCTTCATGTACTGTTGATTCGTTTTCACTACAATTTCATATGAAGTTTTATATTATGCAGTTGTATTTATTTACCTACCTACATTCATATCAGTGTTAGATACTGTACGTAGACACACAAGAGCGCGAACGAGTCCGTCACTGTTTTCTCTTGTGTACTGAACACAGCTCTACTTCGTAAGATATTAATTAACATATTTGCTCACTAAAAAAAACTGAGATAGATGCTTGGGTTGATTCTTCACGTTTGCGTTGACCGTAACTCCGGCCACTATGCCATTGCCCACATGCAGCATCGTCTGATCTCCGCCTGCAACATTTTCAGTTAGTGTGTTAGCGGTGGTCATTCCTGTGTATAACATTATGCGAAGGTTCAAAAGTCACAAGTGGAGGCCGTTGTGCAGTCAATCCTAGCGCAACAGTACAGTGACGGTAGCACAAGGAGACGGGTAGTTCCGGTTTCGGCGCGCTAACAAGTTGCCGGGAACGCCGTCAGAAATACCGCTTAAAGGTCAGCAGTGCGGTAACATTCGGTCGCTGTTACACAGTGCCAACACAACTTACCGCTGCCCGTGCCATCTGCATCCGCTGCGCCGGCTGATCCATCACCGGCTTTTTGTCCGGATCCCGCAGCACCGGCCGCGCCACTCCCTTTGTTGCTGCTACCACCATTCGCATTGGCGGAATCACCACCGTCCGAACCGGCGTCGCCGTTGCCACTTGCATCGGGTCCGGAGCCGGAACCGCTTCCATCACTTCCACCACCTCCGCTGCCTCCACTGCCGCTTCCACTCCCTTTCAGAGTTGTTTCTGCAAGCAGTCACGTAATTGGTAGCGTGCGTGTATTTCCGTCTGTTTCACTATGTAGATTACCAATTGAGCCACTTCCGCCAGTTGTGTCGGCGGCAAATGGCCTTCGAGGTTTCTGTGTGCAGCGAAACAGCTACCGTTACAAAAGCTTTGAACGAATGTATAGTATCTCGAACATGTCGGCACGAAGCCGCTCTTTGTAGATTTGCAGATCTTTAAATAACTGACGAAGAAAACTAAAACAAAAATTGTCAGCTGGGCAGTTATGGCCGCTCCCTGTACCAAAAGGTCACGGCAAGTCACAACCCCTGCAAATTTGCAGGAAACTAAAGCAAGAGACGCTCAAAACAGTTTCTAAATAAAAGCGACATTCCGTTGAACGTGTGCCAAAATAACGGTTAAGCTGGAACGCTTAATCTGCTGCATCGCTTGTTTGACCGCTTGGCTAGGTCTCTGTGCAAAAATCAGGCTCAAGGGGGTTGTTGATGTTGACTCGACAGGGGCGTGGTTTCTCGAATATTTGGTATTAACTTCGAGTTCCTCCTCGCATATGGTCGAAGGTTGCGAGCATGCGCTTTTGTGGAATTGTATTTTGAAGTTAATAGTTTATATACGTACCTGGCATGGGTGTTGGAGCTCCCGGTCGAGTTTCGTATGCCGACGGACTGTAGGTGGTCAGTGGATTATAGCGTACTTTAGAATCAGGTACATACCAGCTGTAGCAAGGCAATCCCACAGCCAGCAACAGCAATCCGTGTAACAGAATCAAGTTTAGCGATGGCGCGATGAAATACAGCACATCCATCAACTTCTACTGGTAACAGGTAATGGGATAATTAATATACTCGCTGTCCAGCGCGGGCTGCAGGATAATACTCTGAAGGGGATGAAAGATCTTACCACATCAGTGCACGGTGACAAGTGCATTCGCAATTTAACGGTTTATAGCGACTACATAAGTGTTAATTAAGTCTCTTTGGGACACTAACTCGGTGAGAGTAGTCAAGTATAGGGTTGCTACCACAACTGCCGCATTATACAGTAATACAGTATCAATAATATTGCACGGTTTGCACTGCTAATCAGTACGTACTTGTACGTGTAAGTACGAGTACTTACACTACTTCAGCGAATCTCTTCCTGTCACTGAGTACGTCCACCAAGGACATCCGCACTCGTAATGCTTCAATGATTGCTGCAGTATTAATTTTTTCACCTTTAATGTGGGCAAGTACTGTACATTCATTACACTGGTTACTCTCGCACTGTCACGCATGAAGTACTGTACTGAAATGCAGCTTTTAACCGGCACGAACAAGCCAAACGCAGTCATAATATTCATGACGCGATTGCGAAAACGAAAACGAAAACGATCAGTCAAGTCATGACGCGATTGCGAAAACAAGCTGCCAGCCGTGCCGAATTGAAGCTGCCTGGCGAAAATCTTTCGATTGGTCGGTTTAATTAGAAATGAAATAAACCGACCAATCGAAAGATTTTCGCCAGGCAGCTTCAATTCGGCACGGCTGGCAGCTTGTTTTCGCACATAGTCCAATATTATTATGCTTCCATAATTCCGTACTTCAGTGGTACTGTAATTGCTGCGCTACCAAGTCAAAACGACATTTTTTCGTTCGTTACGATTTCAGAAAAATTGGAAAATGAAATCAGGAATAAATCGCTTTCAGATAAAGATGGAAAGAGCGCAGTTACGCAGTACGCTATGGTATGTCACTATGTCGAAAGTAGGAAAGAAAGTCAGGCAATTGAGTCAGTTGACATCGGAAAATCTGCATAGCGTAACTGAGCGAAAATCACTTGTGTCTGGTTAGTTTAGTTTCACGGAAATTGAAGGCCCAAACACATTTGACTCAGTGCAGATTTATTTTAAACACAATTATCGACACGCTAGTAATTAAAGGAAGGCAAAATACGAAGAAATCGCACCGCTAAGAGACCAATACAGGCGAACTTGGATCGAGGTGAAGTTGCGCCGCCATCCAGTGTTAAGAAGCAGCCAAAGGGAGTAAATTGCACATTTGCTAATGTGTATCAGAATCGCCTCACGTACAAGCAGATAGCACCCTTTTACCGCTTTCCAAACGCGTAATGACCACCAAACTGACATGCTTGATGGTTTATACTAATTATCTGCTTTTGCACGCAAACAGGTTACCATCATATTCTCAATAGCGACTAATGCTGTTTCATTCTTCAGACGCAACTCACAAACGCGGAAAGCCGAATTGTACCTCGCCGGGAAATAGCCCTCTACGCCGCGTGATTCCACGCAAGTTTGGAGTCCCAACGATCACTACATCCCGGTCCCGGTGAAGCGACTCTTTTTCCAGGACGATGACCTTCATACGACCGATCGCTCCCCCGACCGGCGATTCGTCCTGCTGGAGCTGGAGCAGCCCACGGACATGCAGCGCGCCTGCCCGGTCTGTTTCTCCGATCCACGGAAAGACGCACCGCTCTCCGACGCCAGCCGCTATCTGAATCGCGCCTGCAGCGGGCAGTGTGATTTAACTGTACGGACACTCCGACATCGTCTGGTCCTTTAATTGGCCCGTCAACTCTCCTGCCAAAGACGTCGCAAATATTCCGCCCCACATACCCCAACCACCATGGGATATCCGCTCCTGTACCGACAAGCATATATATACCAATATACGGACGCCACCGTGCCGGCACGCTATCTCCAGGGACCGTCGCTGACGGGGTATTGTGCCGGTGGGTCTTCCGCGCAAGCATGGGCATGGTACGTAAAGCGCCAAAACTAGATTATTAACGTTTCTTGATTTCCTGTTTATTCTTACTTCGTACTAGTGATGGTTGTTTCTGTGATTTTTAGAAAGGAACTGCAGCGGCACTGTATGTATCGACATCGTCACATAGTACAAGTATCATGCATGTACACTGTACAGCAACACATAATTAGTGAGTGAATGGTTAGTGAGGGATTTACTCGGGATTTATACAAAATGTACGTTTTTTAGTACTACTTTTTATGAGAGTTACGTTAAGGCTTTTGAGTAGCGAGTTTCCCTTGATGAGTAATGCTAAAACTCGAAAATAGCTCTCGATAGGTAAGTAATCATTAGTAAGTACACGGGCCTGATTTATTTTTTGTTTAGCATTTTAATAGGCATATTATATCGTGCCTTATTTAGTGTCGGTTTATACAGTGAATAAAGATTTTGGCACCATTATTGAAGACGTTAATATCGACGTGTCCACATTGCGATGGATCCAGTGATCGAATATGGCAGTGCCACCAGTATTCCAAAGACAGTGTGCACCATGAGTGACTGGTAATCCAACAGAGCATGAGGCTAGGGCTTCTCCTAGCTTGATATCCCGTTAAATTTAAATAGAGTGCATTTGACAACAGGTCCAAACCATCCTAGCTAAATTCTGGACGGAGATATCGCGAAAATGCGAATATACTAGAAAAAAATACGATTGCAATTGGACCATTAAGGGAAGCAGTGGATCATCAAATAAGACGCAGGCAATTGTACTGCATATTATCAGCATCCTTGCAGTCTCAGGCATTGTGTCCCACTGAACTTTCATACAATAATTATCAACCACCTTACAATATTTAAATAGCAGTTAGGATGTGACAGTGCATACCGTTTAGTATCTCTGCTTCCGCTGCATACGGCATACTGAATTCCTTAGTGTCCCCGAATACCCCGAACAGCCGTTGTGAGCTCACTTGATATAAACCGAAAGGTCAGTGTGTTTGTGAAATAGAAAGCGCAGCCTCGAAACTCCGGTTTGCAGTTCATATCTGCGGATAGCAGGTGATCAGCCGAAACAGGCAGGTACCACCTTCAAAACCAACCGATCGAAATCTGGCATCGCCGTCAGGAAACAGTCAGGAAGCCTAGATGATAGCACACTTGTGACTTGGCCATCACAATATTGTCACCAGAACTGGAAGCACAGACAAGTAGGTCACGCCCACTGATTGGCATTTCGATTTTTTGCTGTTTTGCGCCATGCATTCACTGACGGTGTGTGTTACGTCCAGTTCTGTTTAATGCTGCAGTACTGCTACGCTAAATATGCAATTTCAGAAATTATTATCACCCACAGAAACCCACAGAAATGCAAAATTATAATTTCCCCATGATATTGGTAGTCACATAAAATTAATTATTATATTTATAATGTTTGGTATGCGCTTCCAGTAAAAATACGATTTTTGAAGAAAAACTCCGTTATTTTATTAATTTTTGGTTAAGGTGTCCATGTACATACGACCGGAAGTAAATTTTGCGCGGCGGTTTTATTGGTAGGCTTAATGAAACTTTATCAGCGCCTGAAACACTGTACTTACAGTACATATACAAAACATTATACAGTGCATAAGGAAGTATGATAAGTAAAGTACTTACAGTTACGGATACTTGCTGGCGAGTTTATAAAATTTCACGCAACTGATCGACTGACGGTTTTGTACGCACCTAATTATGTGTTGTTGCTAAGTACCTAATTATCTGTTAAAACAACACGTTATAAGCAAATAATAATTTATTTTCAGTGGCTAATATTAAATTACAAGCCTGGCCTTATCGTAACTTCTTACGCAGATACTGTATTTGAATAATTCATAATACGGACGTACATTGTTAATAATAATATTACATGTTTTGAATTCGCTGACACTGAAAACAGCTGTTTATGTGCGCTTTTTTTGGTCGGTTACGTTTGCCGTTTCTTCCCTGCTTTTTCAGGCTTTAATTGTCGAATGAAGGGCAAATGGCTTTTTAATACAGTAACTGTCAAGGCATAGTTATATTTTGTACAATATTTTACTGTAATTATTTTGCTCTGAATGTGTACTGTTTCATCGTCGACGCTGCAGAAGGAATGGCAGCCAGCAGCGCAGCCGTTCACTATGGGCTGTGGCACAAGCCGGCTATTTTTGTAAGATAATCGGAGAATGGGCCGGCAGCGCGGCGGCGGCGCGCAACGGATGCGATGTGGGGACGTTGAAGACGAAAGCGGGCGATGTAGGATACGTGTTATGCAGCTACGACGGATGCTGGTGAGGGCAGTCGAATGCGCTCCAGTTTAAAAACGGCGCAAACACTGTAACGCAGACGCGACTGGAATAATGAGAGGAGCAGAGAGGTGCATGTGGATACATGTGTTGCATCTGCTGCCGTATCTGTATATAAATATCCAGACATTTTCCTATAGCTAGGCTTTCCCATAACCGTTTATAAATAGCTTACCGGTTACTGCGGTTAGTGTAGTTCAAGAGACCGGCTGCGATATTATGCAGTACTATACGTGCATATAACAGTCATTATTATAATTACCGTACACCATGAAATTTTTATTGCAGCCTATGGCAGCGCAACTGGACACCACCGACGTACTGCACTGTACGCGGCCGTTACAGATTACAGTTGCAGTCGGCCGCAATGCATCATCGCTGGCTGTTTGTTCAAGCGCTTTGCGCTTGCCTGGTTGAGAAGTTGAGCGGCGTCTTGGAATTTGGCGCAGAGCAAAGTCAAACAGAGGAAGCAAGGCTAATCGCAGCCAGGCACATCTCTAACTCGGTCATGAGCGCTGGCTGTCGCGATCGGATCGGCAAGGAGCAGTTTAACTGTTGAATCTTCAATAAGGCAACTGTTGCTAGTCCGTTACTGGGAAACAGTCTTGTTTGGGAGGTGGAATATACATATATATACGCTGATTTCGTTTAACGCTTAAAATGGTGTGGCCGACGGTGGTGTTGGCCGTGTGCCTGGTGGGCGGCAGTTACGTGGCCGTCCACGCCCTGCAGTGTCCCAAGTGCGAGGAGGCCCAGTGCGCGCCGCTGGTGGGGAAGCAGTGTTTGGCGGGCGTGGTCAAGGACAGCTGCGGCGCGCTCAAAACCACTTCAAAACAACCTAAGACTTACAGAAATTCGTTGCCGGAGACCGTCAAGACCATGGTGCACCATGGTCCTCCAGCTTGGTGTCATTATCAATGCCACGTGGCGTTGATAATGACACCAAGCTGGAGGGCCTCCCCCGTCCAAGACGGTTTTCCGTTAGAGTTGCAGGAAGCCGGGCGGAAGAGACCAATGTCTACGAGAAAGCACGTCCTGTTGACACTGTACTGCGGGTCCAGCGCCCAGCCGCATCGGGGTGGTAAGGGCAGCGGAGGATACGGGATGGTGTCGTTGTCGATATGAAGATCCTTCGTCCCTTTTCATTTTGGTTAGAAAACGAGGCACGAACGTTTCCGTTTAACCGTAGTGCTTACTGCTTATAACGATCCCTTCTTATACACTACGAAGTAGGCCACCAGTACAGTAGGGCGTATTCATTGTTTAACGCGTAAGACGATGGAGACAAGCGCTCGCTATTCGCACCTAACCGTCAACCGTGTGTGGTTGCACTAAGGGCACTGCTCTTTTTTCCAAAGTGCGCCCGCTGCGGTCTCGCGAAGCTTCTCCTCGTACCATCGTACCGTTCGTACGTACCTATGATTAGGCGGGTCTCCAGTGTTTTATTTGGGAACTTAATATCCCGATAAATCCAACACGTGTTGCCACTGCCGGGGTGAACATTCCGATCAGTACTGGACGAAGTCAGGAAGAGAGTCAATAAGATGTTTGCTATGAGCCAAAGAGTTGTCATAATATATTATTATGACAACTCTTTGGCTCATAGCAAACAATTATAATGACGGACGAAATGGTTATAAGTAGTCCGAGTCGTAGTCAGTAGTCATAAGAGAGGTGGGACATAAGACTGCTAGTTCTGCGTACAAGAGCAAGAATGAGACGAAAAAAATAAAATAAACTTTACAGTCCACGGTGTTAGCTCAGCAGGTGTGGTAGTCATCAAAAAAGCAAGCAGTGTTTATTTCAAAATCACAAGCGGTAGGATAATTACACTGCTTGTTATACTGTACTTTCCCAGAACTGGGAAAGAATTCTGAACCGCGCAGTCATCTTTAACACAATTCATCTAGATGAACTGTGTTAAAGATGACTGCGCGGTTATATATATTAGCGTGACAACACAACTGATTACTTAAAATTTATTAATGCTCTAGAATTATGTAATATTTTTTATTTTATCGTTTTCTTTTTTATTAATTATTTTGTTACCTTCCTTAGTTGATCGTGCTTTTCTTGTGCTGATACTGGCCAGTTCGTAAGAAATAAGCAATCTTATTTTACTGTACCGAATTTCCAGCCTGTCCAGGCGTAGTTCACGCGGGATTCGGTGTGGGTTTGGCGTTGGAGGGAGGAAGTGGTTGGCATTTGCGCCTTCGGAGTAATACTACAGGCCATTAAGCCCGATTGTCGCAGCCAGAATGAGCTATCAGGTAAAGCCGAACAGCTCCTTAGTTTCACTTCGCTGTTTTTGCTCAGGTACTTGTAATGTACTTGGCTGGATACAGACTGTACTCGCTGTCGAGCTTCGTGATGCCCAAGCGTGCGTGACCTTTAACTATGGAGCAAAGCATTTAATGTACATAATAATGCGATTCATAACAAATTTGACAAATACAAATTCTCATTGCAAATACGTACCCATCCGATAACCACGCCGGCAAGGTGGCTTAACACTGCCGCTTTAACACTTCCGCTTCCTTTAAGACGACCGCTTTCTACTACTTAGTACGAGTAGGTCGTAATAGGCATTAACCCTAATTCAGCAGAGATACTCATTTTTGTTTTGACAAGATACATACTCTGTATAGCCGCTACAGAGAATTACTAGTACATCTAATAAGAACAGCCGAGCCCCGTTACGGGGTGATTGGTTAGCTCGCTGTTTTTCCAATAAACGTGACATTCGTAATTCTCGCCGGGATTGCAGACGTACTGGCAGTGTGTCATTTTGAAGCCAATAACTACAGAAATTTTGCAATGCGCCAAAAAGGGAAAAGAGCATGGGCTACGTAATACGCGAAGATGGTCGCACGTTAAGCGCCCTGTAATACCGTGGCCATCGGCATCGCCTCACAATTTAAAGAGCACATTACACTTGTTAATCAAGCATGCGTTCTTCTATTTGTAACCGCCATCAAAAGACTGTCACAAGGAACCAGGAAGCTCAGGATTTAATTGACAGTTCCACTCGTATATCACGTCTGTAGCCGGCAGAAAGGTGGACGGGTGGATGGTGGATGTTCAATGAAATCGCATCCACCAATCTGCCGACCTTCGGCAGATTGGTGGATGAGCCGTCCACCTTTCTGCCGGACCATATCCACCTTTGTGCCGAAGGTCGGCAGATTGGTGGACGAGCCATCCACCTTTCTGCCGGAGCACGTCCACCTTTTCTAAGGCATCCACCTTTCTGCCGAACCAACCGATCGGCGTCGATTGATGTGACAATGAAGCTATTGAGTGCAGTAAAGGCCCATTGTATGATCAATGTATGCGTAAGATTGTTTTGGTACGGATCCAGACTTCTACGATTTTGTTCGAATTTTGAAATGAATTTTAAAATTTCTGAAATACCATAAAGCAATGCAAAAAAAGTGTTTGGGAGTGCGCGACAGCGAAAGTTCCCATGGGTGTACATTAATTTGGTGCAATGTACCGGGCCAAATCCCTTAATCATTGGCTGGTATCTGCGTACAGTACAGGTAGCAATACGATTAGTACATAAAACGTTAGCATTACGTACTAAAGACCAGTATTAAATTTTAATAGCACGATAACAATATCAAGAGTTGGTTTCACTTAAACAAAACCACATTTAACACGTTTGCAACATTTAACACGTTTGCAGTATTAAATTTATTTTTTCAGTCTTCGTTAAAAAGGAAGCCATGTACAATAAAACCGACCGGAAGTAAGCGCATACGCGTCAGCGCATACGCGTCAGTACTAACCGTACACTACACCATGCACAAAGTAGGTACAGCATACGCATTAATTTATGCATAATTCCGTATTGTAACCTGTTGCTGATGTTACTGATGCTACTTACTGGGCGGATCTTGTAGTGGTAAACTGGACGCTTTCATAAAACTACTCAATAGTACTTATGTAGCTCTTAGTAGAAAATAAGAAACCAAACAATGCATACGGAAGTACGACAAGTAAGCACTTGCACACGGTTAAAAAAAATTCATGAAGCTGATCAACTGGACGTTTTTATTATACTAACTATGTGTTGTTGACTTGTTGCTAAGCTACATAATTATCTATTAAAGCCGCATGTTCTAAGCATAATTTGTAGTGACTAAAATGATAATTATTTTGAACCTGGCCTTATCGTAATTTCTTATGGAGGTACATACATAATACGGGCGGACATCATAAGTCAGTTTTTCTGTATTTACGGAAAACACAGCTGCTTACGAGCGCAGTTTTGTCAGGTTTGCAGTTTCTTCCCTGCTTCATCAGGCTTTTATTGTCGATTGAAGGGTATATGGCTTTTTTAATAAGTTGCAAGTTGTAAGGCAGTTATAATTTGTACTGTTGTACAGTATTTTACTGTGCTCTGAAGGAGTACTGTTTCGTCAACGCTGCAGAAGGAATGGTAGCAAACCCCAAGCAGCACCGCCGTTATTATGGCTGCAGCCGAAAGCAAGCTATTCTTGTAAGATACTCGGAGAAGTGGGCCGGCGCGCAACTGATGTGATGTGATGCGGGGATGTCGAAGACGAGTGCGGGGCACTGCGGGCGAGAGATGCTGCAGCTAGCCCATTACGCTCTAGTTTAAAACTGAGAAAGCAGACGCGGCGGGAAAGAGAGGTGCATGTCGATACATGCGTTGCATCTGCTGCCGTATATATAAATATCCAGCCTTCTTCCGAGGCATCCCCATAACTACTTATAAATAGCTCAGTTCAAGAGACCGGCTGCGATATTATGTAGTACTGTACGCGCGTATCTTATAATGATAACTGTACAACAGTCATGAAAATTTGATTCCAGCCTATGGCAGCGCAACTGGACACCGCCGACGTGCTGTACAGTGTACTGTACGCGGCCGTTACAGTTGCAGTCGGCCGCAATGCATCATCACTGGCTGTTTGTTCAACCGCTCTGCTCTGTCTTGGAAGAGTTGGCGCTGTGCAAAGTCAAACAGAGAAGCGAGGCTAATCGCAGCCAGGCACATCTTTTACTCGGTCACGAGCGCTGGCTGTCGGATCGGCAAGGAGCAGTTTAACTGTTGAATCTTCAATAAGGCAACTGTTGCTAGTCCGTTACTGGGAAACAGTCTTGTTTGGGAGGTGGAATATACATACATAATATATTATACGCTGATTTCGTTTAACGCTTAAAATGGTGTGGCCGACGGTGGTGTTGGCCGTGTGCCTGGTGGGCGGCAGTTACGTGGCCGTCCACGCCCTGCAGTGTCCCAAGTGCGAGGAGGCCCAGTGCGCGCCGCTGGTGGGGAAGCAGTGTTTGGCGGGCGTGGTCAAGGACAGCTGCGGCTGCTGCGACGTGTGCGGCAATCTCGAGGGGGACCGCTGTGACCGCGCCGGCGACAACGGGCCGACGCAGTACGGACCGTGCGGCGAGAATCTGCAGTGCCGGCACCGGGTGGATCTCCCTGAACAGGACGCGGTAAGGCTTCCAGTGAAATAATAAGGCGGAATTAACAAAATATTTTATTCTGGTTTCTTCCGTATCAGCAGACCGTTTGTCTGAATGAACGTTTGAGAGGTGGCAGAACTGATTACTGTCATTTTGTGGGGAATGGGGATACAGAACGAAATGCCACTGTAAAGTTTGCAGTATCCCCACAGATCTAGAATCGCTGTGCTACTGCTGCAACCGTTGATGGGTGACGTGGAAGTAACACTGTGCTTCCGCCACTGAACTTTGTCTAGCAATTGCCTGTGTGATGTAAGCAAACAACTTGCGCTCTCTTTTCTTGGCATAAGAGTTTCCCCACAAACAGTCCCACCTTCCCAATTAAATGCAATTAACCTTTATATTTAATGTCTCTGTGACGTTGAAAATACTGCAAAATTAATATTCAGTTTTTTTTCCTGAACGCCTTTTTACTTTCTTACGCACCTTAAGCAATATGTCCACAAATTTACTTTTAAGTTGGCTGATCATTAAGGGCTAAAAGTTAAAACCATACAGCACTTGTACATATATTTTTGAGGCGAAAGTTGGCAGTGAAAAATGTAAAATGAGATGGTTACTTATTACGTATAAGTATAGTGAATGCGTTACGTATGTACAAATCACGCACAAAATGCTTAATTTCGGTATGTAAGTTGATGTAACTGACACATTATTGGATTATTTCTAGCTGCTTGCTGCGCCTGCGCGTACCTGATCATATAAGAGGATCAATGTTAAAAATGCAACAATCTATTCTCTATTACGAATTGACGAGTATATGTCACATACTCTGAATGATGTGTGTATTGCAGGTGTGCATCTGCAAGGAGCAGAAGATGATCTGCGGCAGCAACGGCGAGACGTACGAGAACCTCTGCCAACTGCTGGAGGACGCCCACGAGAGCGAGCAGCGCATCATGGTCGACCGCGAAGGACCCTGCAAAGGAGGTACGTACATATGTAGTCTGTACATTACGGTTTATTTGATCGCTGTGTGTATGTTGTGTTTTCTACGCAATGCGGACTGTTCGCCAAAAAATTGAGCGCGTGCAGTTGAACCTGATTCTGAACGATATTGACCTGTAGATCCGTGGATCGCCAGCGCCCCCGACGACGCGCACATCTACGAGGGCGACAACACGTCGCTGGCCTGCGAGGCCATGGGCAACCCCGTGCCCACCATCATGTGGACCTTCGTCAACAAGGACCACGTGGAGAAATCCCTGCCCAGTACGCTTTAAATAGCAGCGTTGTGCTTGTATATATATTCTATTGCTTCCGTGACCTTTCCCTGTACCTGGCTGAATAACCGCTGCGCTTACACATTTCTAGTTGCCGTGACCGTTTACTTTATTTGAATAAATAGTCGTGTTGCCTTGTTAATAGGCGACGACGAGCACTTCTCGGTGCAGTTGCGTGGCGGGCCGGAGAAGTTCGAGGTGACCAGCTGGCTGCTGATCCAGTCGGCCAAGCGCACGGACGAAGGCAACTACCGCTGCATCGCCAAGAACGACCTGGGCCAGAAGGACATCCACGCCGCCGTCAAGATCTACCGCAAGGGCCAACAGATCCCCGCCGAGGGCCAGATCCCGCCCCCCAAGGACTCCCGCCTCCACCCCAACCTCATGGGCACCACGCGTGCCCGCCGCGAACGCCGCTGGCAGTCTAACGCCCGCCACGGCGAACTCTGAGGAGCACCTTGCAAAGAGACGCCACTAAAATGATCGCGGAAAGACACCAAAATAGAATTTAGCATGGATTTTCTGACATTTTTCATTGCTCGTTATTGCCGTCTGTCCGTCAGTGTCAGGTGATATTGTTGCTTAACTCGCCGGTGAAACGTTGCTGCGGCAGGAACGCCTGCGCTGTCCACAGCTGCTGACCTTTGGCCATCTTGCCAACTGCCAATCACTGCCTTTTGTAGACTTATTCTCTTTTCGTATACTCTGCATTTTTGTTGCGCGGCTTCTTATAAATGTAAACTGATGGCTTTGCGACCTGATGTGTAATGAGAGATATTAATTTGCCCAATGGATACTCGTACAAAATTTTATTGCGCGATTTCGCGACATTTAATCTGTTGGTTAGCGCTCGAAGTTAATAATCTTGGACAATTAATTACTGTGCGTCGCAGGCCCGTACATATCTTTCTTCCACAGGGTTCTGTAGTCTTTTTCAGTGGTCAAAATACAATGTCATGCAGAGCAGTCCATGCTAATTGCAAACACAAGACACATTAGGACTGATGGCAGTTGAATGTAGTGGAGCACGTGCCCATTCCCACAACCGATCATTAGTGGGAAGCCGCAATAACCGATAACGGTATAAGTACGGCTGTAAGGTTTAATAACAATCAGCGGTACTACAGAGTACAGAGTACTTCGTGATACGACATCGTAACTGTAGAGGCCAGTTAACAGCCAGGATGTTTTTGAGCACGAATGGGCACCTTGTACGGTAGATAGCCAGGAGGAAAAGCCCCATTTGTAGGCTTGTTTTTAGCCGCTTAGGTGCAGGGTGTCTTCGGCGTGCTGGTGGCATTGCCATACTCGGTGACCATCTGCAGCCAGCGAAGCGTGGCTGTATCGATAACATCTTCGATAATGGCTCCGTAAGCTTTATTTTCTGCATAAACAGTCAGCGCATACGATAATTAGGTTATGCCTACGAAATTACTGACACAATAGTGAAGTGTCATGAGGTGACCTTACCGCGGCATTCCGTATCGACCTGCAGACCAGTCAGTCTGAATCCAGCCGTTGTGTTGTCGCGACACATCCTACAACATATCGTTGGTCAACGTCCGCACTACAAACTGTTTAGAAGCCGGAAGTTTTTATAGAGATGAAACAGAAAATGACACGCGTGTGACATATTGTGCGGTAATCAACGTTAACGGGCGATTTCGTGGCGTGCCGTATGTGTAGGCTGCCGAATGATGTCAGTTTTCCGGCTGAAAAGTTCTAATCGTACAATGTTTATAGCTCGTACCTTCATTGCTGTACAAATTCAGTACTGTACTGTACTACTAGAAGTGCTTATGCACAGCCATGTGTCAACGTCGTAGCATCACGATACTGCATGTAAGTACTGTACTTACAATGGAGTGCCAATGCCAAACTAAAAAAAGCAAATAAACAGCCATTATTAGCAAGTAAAGACACTAACAGTGGAAAGCAGGAAACCTGCAATGCTGCTCGCTGCCTTACTGACCATGCACGCCGTTGCTCGGAGGGGTGCCCCGGCACAGAAGCCCGTCAGGGATGGTCCGCGGAGATAGCGTGGAGGCTGGTACTGTTGTTTGATGCCCTCCGTGTATTTGCTGACGCACGAGCGGATGTCCCATGGCAGCTGCGGTATGTGGGTCGGGATTTTGGCAAAATCTACGTAGGCCTCATCCCCTATGACCCAGTCATACGCCCAGACGCTCTTGGAGTGTCCGTACAGCTCACACAACCCGGTGTACTCGTTGTCCATATAGCGGCTGCCATCGGAGAGCGCAGTGTCCTTGCGCGGATCGGAGAAACACACCGGGCAGGCGCGCCGCATGTCGATGGGCTCCTCCAGCTGCAGGAGCACGAGACGCCGCTCGGCCGCTCGATCGCTCATGCGAAAGTCGTCGTCCTGGAAGAAGAACCGCTTCACCGGGATGTAGTGATCCTGGGCGTTGATGTCTTTATCGGAATCACGAGGCTTAAAGGGGTATCTCACGGCGACGTCCATCACGGCATTCCGCGTGTTTTCGTCGCGCCTGCAAAGTTCAGTAAAGTTGCGCTAATCACTGTGGAGAAATAGAATTTACTCCGGTACAAGCTCAGGACATCGGTATACGCGTAAACGCCGATCTTAAGGGAAGTGGCCCGGTACATGGTACCAAATTTGTGTGAATGCACGGAAACTTTCACTTTCGCGCACTCCCAAACACATTTTTGTTTCGGTTTATGACATTCTGTAGCCAAATGATTTATATGCACAGGCGAGATAACCGTTTGTGCGCGCAACATCCGGTTCGGGAGTTACGGCTGTTAGAAAATTCCCAAAAGTTTAAATGCATTCAGGTCTACCAAAAGTCTCATTATGGACCGATCTCCTTCAAATTTTGCACGTAAATGCGCATGTCCATGAAGATCGTTTTTACACCGATCCAGACTTCCATGATTTTTTTCAAATTTTAAAATGAATTTTAAAATTTTTGAAATTCATTTTAAAATTTGAAAAACATGCTAGAACAGTGGATCGGTGTAAAAACGATCTTCGTGGCCATGTGCATTTACGTGCAAAATTTGAAGGAGATCGGTCCATAATGAGACTTTTGGTACACCTGAATGCATTTAAACTTTTGGGAATTTTCTAAAAGCAATAACTCCCGAACCGGATGTTGCGCGCACAAACGGTTTTCTCGCCTGTGCATATAAATCATTTGGCTACAGAATGTCATAAAGCAAAAGAATAAACGGTTTGGGAATGCGCGAAAGTGAAAGATTTCGTGCATGTACACGACTTTGGTACCAAGTACCGGCCCACTTCCCTTAAGGGAAATGGCCCGGTACATAGCGTCAAAAATGGTATTCATACACTAAAGCTTTCGCTTTGGCGCACTCGGAATCACTTTTTTGGATTACTTTATGTCATTCTACAGCTAAACGATTTGTATACATTGCTGTGATGAGTTGCTCACAGGTTTCAAGAAGATTGGGTAATAAACAGACTTTTGGTAAACGTTTCTACCATTTCAGTTCACCATATCTCGGCAACCGGATGTTGCGCGCACAAACTGTGTTCAGAACAATGTATACAAATTATTTAGCTGTAGAATGACATAGAGTATTCCAAAAAAGTGATTCGGAGTGCGCGAAAGCGAAAGTGTTAGTGCATGTATCCCGTTTTTGACACCATGTACCGGGCCGTTTCAACATGCAAGTAAGTAAATGTTTGTAACTTTGTTGCGATAGTTAAGCCCTTACTGTACTTTACTGCAGTCAGAATGTCGAAAATTTTTTATGCCGTTTTGTGAAACAGTTTAACCGTGCAACATCCTTTTGAACCGATGTAGCTTATGAAGACTACACTGCTGCTGTTAGTGTTTCACTGGCACAAGTAAAAGAGCCGTTTCTCGAAGGACTTACATTATCCCGTTGCCGGACACCGTTAAGACCATGGTGGCGTTGAAAATGACACCCACATGATGGCCATCGCTTGCCCAAGAAGCCCGCTTGTCTGAATTGCAGGACGCCGGACGGTAGAGACCGAGGTCTACAAGGAAACACAGTCCATTGGTATTGTACTGCGGGTCCAGCGCCATCCCGCAGTTGGGTGGTAACGGCAACCGAGGATTCGGGAGGGTGTCGTTGCAGGGCCTAGTGTCGTTACCGGAGGGCGTTGGGGCCGGTGGCGGAACAGCGGTGGTGTAGCCCTCGCTCGTGGTGGGCGCAAACGTGACCGTGGGTGGTGGGGCCGACGGTGTCGATGGGGCACCGGTGGCGGGGTGGTGGGCTTCGTTGCGGGTGTCCCGGTGGAGGTTGGCAGGGACGGCGTGGTGGACGACGCGGTTACCGGTGGCGTGGTCGTTGTCTTGGGAGAGACGCTCGAGGTGACAGTTACCGGAGTGGACGTCGCCGGTTTGTCGGTGGGAGGAGTTAGCGTCGGGAACGTCGGGAGAGTTGGAGGTCCCGGTGACGGTTGACAACAGTTCTCCGGCGGCTCTAATTATCCACCACAGCACAGTAATCAAATTTTAATCCCAGTTAAGTTGATAGGTATTTTAGGCTGTCTACGCAAATTATGTAGAGCCTGGTTGTAATGGTTGCCGGTGACCTTTCCGAGCTTTCTTAGTTTACATTGGTCACATACGTTCACGTACCTTCCTCAGCTCGTGTCAGCAGAAATGCTGCCAATGATCGCGTGCCGAAGGGGGCGTAGCAGCAGGACTGCGCGCGGACATCGCAGACTTCGCAGCGGATGTTGGAGTGCGTATGCGTCAAGTTGAGCGCTTCGCAGGCTGTAATTTCACTGTGGGGGATGCACCATCCTTTTCCTGTTGAGAGAGAAGCAGTTACCATTGCGTTAACCAAATTACAACCGTTTTGTCCATTTCGCTGACCGAATTTAGGATGTACGCTTAATTCGCTCGATGACAATTCGCGTTCGTTTAGAAACGACGAGGAATGCTGTGCTGTTATATATATCTACACTTGTCGGTTAATTTGCGTCAGGTGGCTGTCTCCATAGAATTTGCGCATTAAACTCGAACACTCGCGCATCGTTGGGATTTTGATGAAACCTCCAAACGAACGTTTAGAGAGGTAGAGAAAACAATATTCAGGTGTCCGATAATACTGTTTTGGTGACCAACCATGTTGATGTAAGTAAGCAGCATTCGAAATGGACGGAGACAACCAGCAGCTAGCCACAAACTTAATTGTCAATTGCCACACTTAGTCGTCAACCGTGGGTGGTTGTACTAAGAGCATGCTGACCATGTTTTTTTTCTTCAGAATTAACGCGACCTCACGGAGCGCCGCTTATTCATACCGACGATCATTCGGTTGGCCAGTGTTTTATTGGGAAAAACAGCATCCTCGTAAATCCAGCACGTAGACTGCACAGCCAAGCCACCGAAGTGATTGAAACCGTCGAAACTGCCGTCTCTTTCGTGACCACGCCGTTGCAGGTGAAGAGCACGGACGTAGTGCAGATTGCGATCAGTACAGCACGATGTCAGTATTAGGAGAATTAGTATGACAGCTCCTGAGCGCATATTACACCAGTAAAAGCTTAACGGAACAGAACACAGTACTTAGTTATAGCAGTCTCAGGAAAGGCGGATTACGTATAAGAGAAGCTGCGTTTCTTTCGCACAGAAAGCGAACTAATACAGTACCACAAAGGATCACACGTTATTAGTTCTTAGCGCATCATGGGGAATAATTATTAAAGCTTAGGGAATTCACATCATTGCATGTTAGGTACTTCAGTGGATTGTAAGTACTTCGTAGTATGAATATGTTTCTTTTAAAAATGATGGCGGTCATATTTCCTGACAACAGATTTAATTTTTATTGATATTCTGTAACGGCTCGTTACTTTATTACAGCACTTTGCTGCAGCTGGTTTGCCTTTGCGTCTTTGGAAATACGGAATTAGTAATAATTATCAAAGGCCACCGCCGACCACCAAAGGCAAAGGCAGGATCGCCGCCACAGGCAAATGTCGAGGACAAAATATACAGCAGACAGTCGCGTAATTTCATCATTCTTAGACAGTACAGCTTTTTTTTATAGTGGAGGGACCGTGGCTTCATTGCGTTGCTTGCTTAGTAAGTCCGATTAAGCTCGCTTCCTAACGTAGATATCAGCCGTGACCTTTAACTTTGTGACAGTACATTCACTAAGATTAAACTGACAATTAACGAGAAAGACTCCGGACACCAGGTTTCTCCACCACCCGACATACGATGCCATTTTCGAAGAGATTCGAGGTGGTAATGCTGAGAGTGTGCATTTTGTGAACTGTGTATTTGTACATGTAGTGGTAAATGGAGAGGATTTTTCAGTGATAATACCGTATGTACGGGTAAATATAGTCTATAATTGTAAATATCTTGTACCTGTTGCCTTTGACTCTTTGCTGATCATGCGTAGCTATTAGATTAACTTGGAATGTAGCTTCTTTTCACTACACTAATTACTCTGTCTTGATTGGCTCGCGACACCACATCCCGAATCCTACAAATACTCTGTATTCGTTATCGTGAGCGCACTGTTGATCGCACTAATTCTGCTGAACGGACAGGTGGGTAAACTTCTGTACAGGATTGCGACCAAAGGAAACTGTATATAGCGTTTTCCCGAAGATAGACTTCTATGGGATCATTTCCGTTTAGTCACTTGAACGCCAACGCATTCATTTATTCAAATAATGAGCGTTAATAGGTCGCCTCGTTGCACACCTTAAAGTGCTCTATAAGTTGCAGTGCGTTTTATTTTCAACTGATAGTTTGCGACTGCGTCATTGCGCGCAGAGTTATGGATGTTCCTTCGTCACATTTTGTCGTAAGACATAAGCTAGGTATGTCACTTGGCGCTGGAAATGTACAGTATCTGTACATGCGCCGACAGAACAGGCATAAAGAAACTTGAGCGCTGCACAAAGGTCGCAGTCGCGTAGCGCAACATGTAACAGTGCAAATAGTCTTTCCGTTTCCGCGTGCAGATACACTGAACAAATCTCGCAGGTCCGAACAACCAACCAAACCAGCAGGTGCCGGCGGCAATGGTGGCGCTTTTCCCCGGCTCCGTTTTATTAAGAAACGCAGCATAGTTCTGTGCAGATGCATCCCCGACGCCTCCGATGTCCACTGCGGATTGTCGTCTTCTCGGGAATGAACTGAAAAGCCTCGACTGGGGTCTGCGCCGGTGGCCGCCAAGCAAGCGCCGACCAGCTTTTTCAGACACCCACCACTTTACCATTGGACGCAGTTTTTTCTCGCTTCAGTTCGACGGCAACGTGATCTTACCGAGAGAAAGCATACTGCCCCGGCGATCGTACTATGACGTCTGCGTGAATCCGGACACACCGGGCGACCTTCGAAGTATCCTCGACGACCTCCGGCGACATTTTGACATCAGAGACGTCGTCAATCTGTCCGCAACCGGAAATGATCACGGCCACGGGCACCCCGGGCAGCTTGACCTTTTCGGTGGAGATCTGGACGCGTAAGACGCGATGCAGGCGAAGGTGAAGGTGGACAACACCCTCTAATGTCGGCACGTGCTGCGCGACAGGCACGCCTGGGTTCTGCGCTCCCGCATCGACTTCATCCGGCCGCGTCGCTCAGGGTCCTCCAACTGATCTGCGCCGCCGGGCAGTCGGCGCTGGGTGTGTCCAACACGCAACCGGAGTTCAGCGAAGCCGTGACCTCGGCCGGTGTATGCCACCGGCGTCAACATGGTGCCAGTCGGTTTTCGTCAAATTCCTGAAAAGGTTCCAGAAAGTTAGAAACCACTAGCGATATAGTTAACGGACCGTGTCAGTTAAGACAGACGTTGTGTCCGTCTATACTCTTTTTTCATCTGTCTGTGTTTGACAGCATAATTATTATGTTGTGCTGTCCATTGAAATGGGGATTTTCTAGTGAAAGCAAGCTGCTTTCCGCGTTGCGGATGATCGGTTTCTGGGGTTTGGGTAAGTTGGGTTCCAAATGCGCCGATAGGTTGACGGCTTATGAATAATTTGACATATATCACGTGGATCTACAAACAGTTGAAATTTGATCAAAATTTCACTTAATTTATCAACTGCACAACCGTGATAAATTCACGGCGGTCTTCGCAACCACTACAGTGATTACACTGCATAATTTTTTCTATGATCAGCGAAAACCGACGGTGCGGTAATTCAATAAATGTACATTTTATTCGGCAGCAACCAGTGCACATATCGGTCAGCTTCCGCATATTGACACTAATTAAAATGATTACAATGTGCATTTTCTGTGAATCAAGTTGATCTTAATGCGAGCATGACCAGTTGTCGGATTGTACGGCCAGATTTTGTCGACTTATCGGCAAACAACTACGCGAAAGAACTGAACGTTAACATTGAATTTCGTTAGGTGGATTAAAAGGGACAACTTACAGGGCACCATCCCTGGTTCCTCCGTGCAGTTGCTGCGGAAACCACGAAGACCTCATCCGGCTGCACGTTGTAATGCAGCACTTCGTCACTGGGAACGCGCAGCCGAAAGAGACCCTCATGATCTGGGAGAGCAGTCGGCACACTGCAGGCCGCAGCATCTGCGCGTTGGGGAATAAATGCGGCCATCGTGCCGGTGGAAGGACGGATTCGGCACCTAAGACTTAAGACTACCGCCCGCAAATCCTGGCCTGCAACGGGATGAAATAGTTTGCGGCGAATTCTGCGAAAACTGTTTCATCCAGTTGCAGGCCAGCTTCTTAAGAAGCTGTGCGCCGGATATTTTCTTGGTTAACCATGACAGATCAGACATTAAGCATTAGTCAGGCATTATATTGTGCTTATATTTGTGCCGGAAATTTACTGTATTCCAGAGTTTCGCATTACATGATGCTGTTGTGCACGGAGTCTATGGACTACGGTGAGACTCAGCACGCCGCTGACTAATGGTAATTGTTGTGGAATGATGCGGTGAATTGGAAAATGTCGCTAATTAATTAACTGAGTTGTCTTTCTTACGTCTTACGTGACGGCAATTGAATTGCTAATAGTGGGACTGTGCTTATGAATAAACGTGTGAAGTTTGAACCGTACTGCAGCTTGTAAAGTTGGTTTCGGACCTTCCATTTCCCTATTTCTTAAGTTTCTAACCAGCAGTAGATTTGTGTTTGGCTTGGAGAGCCGCCTTACAGCAAACTAATTCTGCTCCAGCAGTGTAGAGCGTTTCAGTATACGAGGCCAAACCAAGCGCCGTCCACCGTACACTTCTATTATAATTCGACTGCTGCCGTCACCAGTGAAGTTACGGCGGCAACAGCCAGTATTTTGACTGGCTATTTGGCAATTTTCACTGCCGATTCGGCAAATAATGCCGCTTATCAAACGTAGCACGTTACACTCGCCTCCTAGCATCTCTTGTACGGTTGAGACTGATCTGTTGTACCACTTGGTTTCGAATTTGCAACCTTATCTCGCTTCACATCTGGACTTTGATGTACAGTACTTTGCAATTACGATCGATCAGTGGTCGTATGCGACACGGACCGTGCGCACACAGAGTACACGCGGTTATTTTGTACGCCGCTGCAAATTAAAGCTGACACACTGTGCCACAAAATGTTTTATAAGCCAGTAAATTCTTAGTTTTGAGGTCAAGTAGAATTAAAACTTCTTACCAGTTACCACTAGGTAGATACAGATAGGACGGATGCGCAACGGGCCGGTGCAGTCAGCGCAGTGGAAATGCTTTGAACTCTTTTAGGAATAAGTAGGCTGATTCAGTAAGCGTGTAATGCGAAGTGCCGATGTCATAAATTTGATGGAATTTCTAGCGATTTCTGCAGTGAATCGCTAGTTGGCTTCACCCGAAAAATGGGCTCTTGGTAGAAGTATAATTCAAAAGGAAACCTAAGAAAACTGCGGAAATTGTTAGAAATTTTATTAAACAAAATAGAAATACTGTAATACCTAATTTTTCGCGGCAAAAGAAAACACAGGGTTTACAGAAAAGGTAAACGTTCGCACCAGGCGCGAAGCTGATGCTCGTTTTTAATGCGGGAACTGGCAGAAATCCTATAAAAAAGTAACAAATAGTACAAGTAATAAAAGTACAACATAGATTTAAAGAATAACGCCAAACAAGCGACTGGGAGCCACCGACACGGAGCACAAACCAGAGTAGTGCACTCGTCGAATCTCGATTCCGTCCCGCCCAATTTCAATAATTACAAGGCGACCTTCAACTCGACGTCAGACAGGAATCAGCATTATGACGCTAAAAATTGGAGATCAGAACAAAAATTAAGAACTATCCAAGGAACGGATCCACGTTCGGTGTAAAAAAATTTTGCAATGTTGTAAAAAGTTGACAACCCGCATCACGATAACGGGTTCCACGCCTGCGTGTGCCAATTAACGTTCCAGTCACTCTGAAGGAATGCCAGCGCAGCGCCGCGCAGCGGTCTATAATCGCCGGCGGAAAGGTCGTATCCGCTGAGCGACACCCAACCGCTGCCGACTGGCGAGCGGCGATAGGACAATGTCATCAAGGCGGGGGCGTGGCCAGCTCAAATGGCGTCGGCAGCGCCACCGGAAGTGTATGACGAAGTCCTGGTGGCGCATCCGGAACGGAACGGAGAACCGGGGCTGTATCGTTTATGGTTGAACTAGCTGTAATGTTTCTATGCATTTCTTTCTTGTCCTGACTACTATACAGATACAAGTACTGTGTATGCTCGCATTATGAAATGCATTAATTTTCATAAGAATAAAAGTGTATCGGAAACTTTTTTTAGAGTTCGACATATCATGTGACTGTGTCTTTGTCAACTTACGCAGGTTTTAACCGTGGAAATTTTTACGTTATCCCTAGTATTCTACATGTGGTGCATGCATAAATACACAGATCCTCTCAGATCGTTGGAGGCCATTTAATTTCGTGCGGGAGAAAATGTTCTAGTGGAGCCATTCCAGAGGAATGCTCCAGGAAAATTCTACAAAAACTTGGTGATAAAAATCTGCCGTCTCGGGGATGCCTTGGTCTAAAATAATCCGCCCCATAGGGCGTAGGCGAATTTAACTCGCTCGGGATTTGGGCGGGAGGGGCACCGAGGACCCGGACACCCAAAAGACAGGGAATTATTCTGCTGCAGAAACTGCTGGAAATTTTGTAAAAGTAATGAAACTCCTTCCATTTTGCGTGTTAAGGCGCCGGTTAAAAAACACACTGTCGATCACGGCTTTAACCAACTCACGTTAAGATATATTTATTTGTCGGTTACGGACCGATTGGCCGACGGCCGTAAGTGGTGCCGGTCACAGTAAAGGAGGTGGCAGAACGTAGAAACATGGCCTCCGGTGGGTGTCGTGGCTCTACCGGGAGACCCTGGAGATCAACGTATCGTTCTACTGCACGCGCCTTCAGGTCTTCATTGCGCACTGCTACCAGCTTCCGATCGGGAAGAACATGTACACAGCCAGTTACAAGCACGAGCACTGTCCCGTAGTGTCAGGAAACCATTCAAACGGCCGACATTAGGGATAAATTAATCTTCTTGAACAAAGTGTTCTTCCCGTTGCGTGGAAAGCGGAAAGCCCGAGTGCACTGCGCGGATCACATGCATGATGCATCACAGTGCAGGCATGCACTGTGCACTTATGCAGCAGTCACTGCAGCGAACCAATGCAGCAGAGCAGGGCGACTGCAGACTGCAGCGCCACCGGAAATGACGGCAACGACCCATGCGCATTACCGCCATTACGTATACTGCTTTTCCTTCGCATAAAAACAGAAACAATACGAGTACCACAAATAATCAGCACACTTTATTACTTCAACAGATCTAACATGGCGTCGGGAATAATTAACTGGAAGGCGGTAGAAAGGTCACCTCCGTGTAGCGCAACACAGCATTTGGCGACGTATATTGTACGGGGCCTCCGATGCAGACGGTGCAGCAGGTACAGAAATTGCAGCCATAAGGTCGAACCGTTTCCAATATCGATGGCGGAAAAACTACAGAGTAATTAATCGCACTGCCACAAATATATATATACTGTATACGACGGTAGCTAATATCAGTGCTGTTAACAGCAATTAAACAACTACTGTCGCTCAAACATTAATCCGCTTTCTGCGAAACGCGGTATAGGTTTCAGCAGCACAATAATATAATTTCTCCATTAGAAATCACTCTTTTCACCGATCGCACTGTGTGGCTTGCGTTTATGACCTTTTGCCACCTACAATACTGTACTCGTACCGTGAATTTATTAGTGAACCCGGCAAGGGCTATTCCCGTTTATTAATCGTGGCGCTATTCATCTGCAAAATGTAATTTCTTCGGTACTTTTGGCATCCCGTAGCCGCCAGCGTAATATCGCCAATTGATCGTCTTTTCAGTCAGTCTTTATATTAAATTACCTGTTTCGTATTCAAATTAAATGTGTGCACAGCCTCGAGGAATTCCATTCATCCGTCTGACTGCTCACACCCAAGACGGGCCGGGCCGGGCCGTTCATTATAATTCGACGCCGAGGGTAGTGTGGAACACACACCTACGCCATCATTTCAACGCCGCAGCTACAGATACGGTATTATTATTATTATTATCACAAATTATCGAACCAACAGCAGCCAAACTGCACTTGGGAGACTTTTAAGGCTGTTGGAATTTATTTTTGGTGTTTCGAAAATGCATATTCTTCTTTACAAGCATTACAGCGCAGACGTAACATTACTCGTCCTTCCATTTGTATGTACAGCGAGAAATTGAAAAGGAATAAAAGATCACAAAGCCCCGATGCAGCGGCCGTCGGGCACAAACCCAACCGATCGCGAGCAGTCATTAAAAGAAGCAACAGAAAATTGTAAATTATAAAAATAATCAACCAACCAACGGAGACCGATCCACTGACACGAAGCAGTCGCCAACTGTCCGTCCTGTTTGTTCCCTATTCCGGCGTCGAGGCGTCCTCGCTCCTCGGACTCGGCTGCGCTCCTTCGCTGCCCAAACGTTGCCGCAATCTACACAATAAATCCAAACCACAATTATCAGAAAATTACAATAAATACACACAATCATGGAAAAAGTTATTACGGAGAAACAAATAAGAAATAAAACGGTAGATCCGCCAATACTGACAGGTCGCCGTAGAGGGGCTCGAAGTTCTGCACCTTCCAGGGGTCCATCTGGGCGAGGGCGTGGTCGACGTACTTGCGGCGCACCTCCGTGTCGTACTCGCCGCTCAGCAGGTTCTTCTGGTACTCCTCCACCTGCTTGCGCCACTCCATGTCCGTCTTGCTCAACAAACCCGGCAACAAACTAAACAAACACCGTAAATCACGCTCAAAATTCAACAAAATTCTAAATAAATGTCCATTTAATTTTTTTCGATTTATTTTTTATATTTTCTCGTTGCCGACAGTTCCGCCCACCTCATCCGGCCCTCGGCGTCCTCGCCGCGCCACGTGGCCGGCAGCATGCTGACCAGTTCGTGCTGCACGGCCGCCGGCAACATCTCCAGTTTGGCGCGCCAGTCAATCTTCTGTTCACACCCAACATACACACAACTTCAATTAAAATGCACTGCCAACTCAAATAAAATAACGTACGTCAAGTCGGGCCGTGGCCAGGATGGAGTTGGAGGATGTCAGGTCGACGATGCCGGCTTTCAGCTTCTTCATCTGCTCCACCTGCGAATCTGCAAGCACCCACAACACATTATGCTTCAACTGATTTTATGCAGTTTTCTTAGGTTTATCTTCATATTTATTGTTGATAACACTGACACCCTAAGAAAATTACACAATTAAAAAAACGCAGATTTTAAATTACTAATAATTATAAATTTACAATTAAAAAAACTGAATCTTATTTTCACATTCAAAAATTATCCAAGTACATGACCAAAAATACATTTTTTAAAAAAATACTTACGAAAACTGATTTTCCATTTCTGTCCAAAAACACAATGATTTATCTGCTTGGATATTCACGAAAAAAACAGAAATCTTTCCCAACGTGAAGCACCCTTCGGTCGGTGCGGTGTATAAACTAATAAATGACCTTCACAGTATTCCCTCCACAATTACAAAATTTAAAAAAAAACAGCAATGGTTCGGTATTCATTACCACATAAAAATTACAACTGAAAATGCCTTGTTCTCATTTTTGCGCATATGAAGCAATTGAATTGCCGTAAGTGCCAATTGCCAACCCCATTAAAATAATAGAATATTTAAAGGAGACACCTGAGTATAACCTGTTAATTCTCGTCTACCAAAGTTAAAAAACGTGTCTATTTTTAAATCGAAAGGAAAGACTGGCTCGTACCGGTGGGCGCGGTGTAGGTGATTTTCTGCGGGCGGCCCCTGCCGCGCGACGCCACCTTCTTGTTCCTGCCGTCCGGAGGCGGCGTGGGCGTGTTGGGCGGGCGGGAGGTGCTGGCCGAGTGGCTGCTGTGACCGCTGCTGCCCGGTTTGGACGCGGCCGCGGGCGACGGCGTCTGCGTCTGCGGCGCCGGGCTCTTCACCGGCGCCTTGTCTTTCCTGCTCTTCTCCTCCTTCTCCGCCGACTGGCTCTCCTTCAACCGTTTCACCACCTACCTCGCAACCCACACAAAATTACTCAACGTACCAACTAACCAATAACTTGTCCGAAAATAATTTAAATAATAATAAACACTTCACTAAATTTCATTCATTGCAGATTTAACTACTAGTAATTTCACTTAATTATTAATAAAATTTGTCCAATAAATTGGCTAATTAATTGCAGATTTATTATCAAACAACTTATTATTGCATGTAGTAATGTTTTATTAAATGTACTAAAATTAACGCTGAATTTTATAAATTAAATTTCACGGATTTTCGGTACCTTCTCCAATCTCTTCTCCATTTTGACCATTTTCGTGGGCGGCAGCGGAGTCCGCGCGGCCGGAGGGTCCGCCAGCGGGATCTCCGCCGTCCCGCTCGTCACCACCTTCACCGAGCCGGCACTGCCGGTGCCTTTCGGCGAGCCCTGATGGCGCGTGACCCCGATCTTGGGCGGCGTCGTCGTCACACCCTGACTGATGGTCTCGGTCTTCTCCGGCGCTTTGACGGGACTGCAGGAGGCCACCTTGGTGGGACTGCTGCCCGGACTGACCGACAGCTCGCCGTCCTTCCGCTTGATGAGCAGCCGCAGCGATTGCCGAGGAGATTCGTCGCCGATGGGTTGGGATACGGGAGGGGGTGGGGGCGCGCTGGCCGGGACGATGAGGGGCGGCGGGATGTCGGCGTACCCGCTGGAGGACGGGGAGGAGGTCCCGGATTGGCTGGAGAGCACCGGCAGCGGGCTGGGCATGTCCGTAGTGTCCAGGGTGTCGGGGAAGACCCCGCCGGCTGTCATCCGCCGTTCCGCCACTAACGTGGACGGGTCACGCTGCGAGTTCTACAAATTATACACGAAACTTCATCCAATCGGACACTCGATCTGTTCTGCATTTTTTTCTTTTTTAATTGCAAAAAAAAACATTATTTGACCATAGACAAAAACTGAAACGAATTACCCAGATTTATACCGTAGTATTTTGTTGAATTATTGATTCACTTGTGGAGTGGTTTATTTTAGTGGAATATTTTCCCTTTATAAAACCGACCAAAATTTTAAAGCCATTGTATAATATTTTAAAACCATGGCTTGGAGGTGCATTATTCCGATGAAGTATTTTTTTGCTTTAGAACTGTAGAAGTGGATTATTTATATATAAAAAAAATAATGGTTTTGAAGTGTTTCATTTTATTGCGGTAACTTTCTATTAAAAGATAAAAACAGACTTTTATTCAAGGCAAAAATAAGCTTGTTTTTATTTCATATTTAAATTTTCAGAGGACGTTGGTTTTACAAATAAGGCAAAAATAAAACGATGACCGTTTTAAATTATTACCTTTGAAATAGAACTCTAAACCATTTTACTATAGGCATAAGCCATCAATAAAACTGTTCATAAATTTTATAATTTTATGAGGATTTTTCGGAGCCACGATAATAATTACCATAAAGTGTTGTCGCGGCCGAATGGTGCGGGGCGGCGCGGGTCCCGGCTGGCCGAAGAGCGGCGCCAGGTCGGCCTCGTGGAAGTCCATGATGCCCAGGATGGTGGGACTGACCACGGCCGCCTCGAAGGGGGCCTCCCCGGCGTCCCCCGCGAAGGGCACCTCCAGGCGCGCGGTGTTGTAGCGGCTGAGCAGCGAGTCGATCCCCGCCCGGGGACGCCCGGCGGAGGCCCCGAAGAAGTCCCCGAACCCCGGGAGGCTCATTGACCACCCCGCCCCGGCCCCGCGCCGAAGCCCTGGCGCACCGACTCAATGAGCTCCTGGTCGTTGGGGCAGGGCAGATCGTGGCGCAGATTCAGCGGGATGTCCTCGGCGAAGGCCAGGTCGCGGGCGGAGGCGGGGCGGCCGCGCGGGGAGCGGCGCTGGGGGGAGGGGTGGCCGGCGGGGCGTTTGGCGGGGGCCACGGGGCTGGTGGAGGCGGCGCGCATGCCGGAGGGCGAGGGGGAGGTGGGGTGCGTGGGGGGCGGGGATTCGGGGGAGTAGTGGATGTAGGGGCCGTGGGGGGGCATGCCTAGCTCGGGGGACTGGTAGCCGGAGGGGGTGCCGGGGGCCGACTGCTCATTCATCGCTGCAAACACAAATTCAATTAATAATAAATTTAAAATTAATTTAAATCGAATTATTAATTAATTTACTAAAAACATTCATTATTAAATGAATTTTTTATTAATTATTTAAAATTAACTGCATAAAAATAATCTGGCGAACGTTGAGAGAAAGCAGTGGAAGAAGAGCGAAATTACGATCACTGACCCTATAAAGAACTAATAAAAAGAGAGATCCCCGGGTTAGCAGCCTGTAGACAGAAGGCACAGTGAGCAACGAGCAGAACTACGAAAAAGATGCTTTTTTCAGAGGAGCATTACTTGCGTCGCGGTGCAGTGGCAGCGCGTCAGGCAGGCCCGCTTCCAGGTCCGCCATGTGCAGCTCGGGCCCTGCGGCCTGACTGGCCAGGAAACGCGGCGCAGGGGGCGCGGCGGGCAGAGAGGCGGGCAGGGCTGTGTGGCTGCGGGCGCTGCGCTGGATCTTGACGATCAAGGGAGCTTTGCGGGTCTGCTGCATGGCACTGGCGCTGTGCGGACGCATCGGGCATCGCGCTAAATTCCAATCGCTTTCTCTCAACGCTCCTCACTCCGCATTCACAACAACAAAATTAAAAGAGCAATTCCATGCAGTCCATAAAAAGATTATAAATATAAATGTCTGGTTACTGAGAAGCTCAAAAAGATTTCCAGAAAATCATGCACAAGCGAGTAACAAGTTACAACGTGCAGAATTCCCGATTAGAGAGCGCCAAAAATAAAAATAAAGTGAAATGTTGACAACCGGAAGCGGAAATCAATGCCAAATTCAAATGATTTCCATTCCAGTGCTTAGTGTGCTGTGATGCACATTTCACCGTACGGCTAGCTCATTGATCATGATGGGATTTCCAGTGGTGTCAGCCGAAATGGAAGGTGGAATACATCGACCTTGACCGCGCAGTGTAGCACACATCTGTCTTCTGTACGAGGCTACGAGCACAGGTATTTCGTGAAAAATTTATAATTTTTTATTTTTTTGCAGCCATTTTGATTTTTGGCAGGTTCTAAGCATCTTCTCATTCTTTTCTAACCAACTTGAACGATTTTCCGGTTCTTGGCGATCCTGTACTAGTACATACTAACGAGAGAGGGAGTTAAGTAAACTGGATTGTTCCCATTGAAGTTGACAGGTTAGCGCAGCCTTGGTGTGCGTTCAGACTTGAGAGTGAAAGCAGTGCCAGGTGCGTGTGCGTGCCTGCAGGCAGGAATCGCGGGATAGCGTTCTATCCACTCTGCGAGCGTAGGCAGCAGAGCGAGGCTTTTAACTGACTGGTGATTAGCTTCGTTGATCCATTATCCTTTGAGGCTTTGATGATTTTATCCCAGTGCATCCTGCTCACAATCAGTGCTGATTGACGACAGCTAACATCAACCTGATTGATCTATCATCTGCCTGTGTGATTCGCATCTGGGTCGCCGTATTGCTGACTGCGACGTTCTTGTTCCCTCGCTGCTGCTGTTGATCAGGGACTTGCTGCACCTTGAATTAATCTAACTGTACCTCTGTCACTCTGTGTGAAATGGCGACGGAATCGGACGCGGAGGTGGAGTCCGTCTCCTCCGGAGATGTCGCTGAGCTCCAGCTCGTCGTCGTGCCGCGACGAGGCGGCGGCGGCGCTGGCCAGCGGCCCTGGCGCGGCGGCGACCAACCCCCTCACCCTGCCCTTCATCCGCGCATCGGACCCGCAGCACTTCCACGACTACATCCGTCTGCGCCAGAAGATGGTCCGTCCTTCACTCTCTTCAGCTTAGAATCATACAGTTTTAAAAGTTTGCTTATTCTTTTCCCTGCACAGGCGATGGAGGCGGCGTGCAGCATCCCCGGGGTGGTGCAGCTGCAGCGCATTCCGCACGGGTTCAGCGAGAGCCAGCTGAGCCGCTTCTTCGCCAAGTACGGCCGCATCCAGCGCGTCCGTCTCCTCAACAGTTCCGGTCTGCACAAAAAGGTATTTAATCACTAAAGTTATGTTGTCCGAAGAATAATGTTTGAGGAAACACCGTCGGATGGTTGCAGGAGAAGAGTCGTCGCCACCGCGACCGCTCGGAGGGCAAGAGCAGCGCGAGCACCGCCGCCACAAAGTGGCCTACATCCAGTTCACCCGCGCCGAGGACGCGCAGCGCGCCGCCCTGGACGTGGCTGGTCTGCCGGTGTACAACCAGCTCTTCAAATGTAACTATTTAATTGCCCTTAGTTTCGCTTAATTACTGCATTTTTGTAATTATTAGTAAATTTTCCAGCTTTGATTTGTCATTCACGTCCTGAAAGCAGATCGCTTGGTTTCTCGTGAGACTCTTTCCAAACGACGCATTTGCAACTTAAAATGATTTCTGCACTTTATTCTTCATTTTTTAATTCAAATTTTTTAATTAAGTAGTGCAGAGAAACTACGGAAACGAAAGTAGCAAAACTGGAATTTCACAAACTGTCCAAATGGAATTGGTGTTACGCTGCCGCTGCGGGCGGTTGCAACTGCGTCCGGCGCCGGAAGTTTCTGAATTTTTTTCATTTGAAACCTTTATCGTAGGGATTTCCGTGAAACGTAATTTCTATGAGATAGGAAAATGTTTTCCGAAGAAATAAAGGTTACTTTCAAGAAAATCGCTCGTTTGCGCTAAGAGCTATGCATCTTGAAGCGGTGGTGTGCAGTTAAATTCATTTTACTGTAACTCGCTTTCTCCCGCATACAGGCTCCTATCTGGCGGCGGAACAAGTCCCGCCCGGCGTCTTCAGCAAGACCCCCCAGGACGCGGAGCCCCTGCCCCGCCACAAGACCTCCAGCCACCGCTCCCCGCTGAAGAAGTCCTCGCGCTCCGGCGGCAAGCGCCCTTCCTCCACGCGCAGCCCGTCCCGTTCCAGCACCGCCAAACGCAGCCACAAGAAGCGCCACCGCGGCCTCTCCTTCACGCCCAACCGCCACCGGGGCCGCGACCATACCCACCCCGAAAAAGACGTCGACAGTCCATAAACCTCTTCGTTCTCCGGAAGCGCTAGTTTAGCTTGCACCCGAGCTTTCGTCGTCAAAAAAACAGTCAGCCAATAAATAAGAATAATTATCCGCAATTTTTTGTTTATTTATTTTGCTTTTCTCCGCGACGCTATTTTTCTTTTTCTTGGAGATTAATTCGTCTGGTTGAATGGCTATTCGAGTAATAATTTCACAGTCATCCACGATCAAATGTACAAGTCGGAATACTTTTGTTAGAGGAATAAAAAAAACATTAACAACATTCGATGAGACTCCCGTTGCGCGATCAGTTTCTAGTTTCTACACAAATTTAACAACAATTTTCTCCGGCAAGAAGAGTTCGCAGACGCGGATGTTTCACATCTTGGATTGGGGCGCAAAGTGGGGATTATAGGGGGGCGGCGAGGCGGCGACGACGGTCGTGGTCATCGGCTGACGGGGCGCTGCAGCGCCGCCCAATGCGGAAAAGACAAAAAGCAACAGTTAGAACAGCACATCACGGCGGTTAAGGAAAAACAGGCAGATTAAGCGGAAAAACAATCCCCAGCCAGCAGCCCCGTTAAGTGCAGTAACAAAAAGAGGAAACAGACGGTGTGTGCGGTTTGAGCGAGGAAAGAGAAGCCGTGCTTTGACTTGCGATGGGAGTTAGGCGTTGCGGCCGACTTTACCGAATGCGACGGTGTGGTGCTGCGTGATGGTGCGTTTGCGGCCGCGGAAGCAGCACAGGCCGCAGCAGAAGCAGCAGCACACGCAGAACAGGACCATCAGCACCACCGCGCCCACCACGATCCCGATGATCGCGCCCACCGGAAGTGCCAGCCTATAAACCACGAATTTTTATTAATAATAAAATAAAACCCACAATTAAAATTAATTTTTTCCCTTCACTACAAAAATACAATTAATTACGCGACAGCAGAAAAAAATAGGTAAATTAATTTGTACTCCAGCAATTAAAAATAAAATTAAGTGTGCTACACGGCAAAAATTAAAATTAATTATGCGACGCAATTAAATGCAATTAATTCAACTGTTAATGCGACTGACCCGTGAGGATCCAGTCCGACGAGGTAGGCGCCGTAGTCCTTCCAGTCGCAGCAGTAGGGCCCGCGGGCCGCCGACTTGCAGCAGTAGGACAGGTCGCCGGAGCCGCCGCTGACCGTCTGCACGAGCGTCGAGGCGAAGTTCGGGCAACTGAAGGCAGTGCCAGCTGCATCCCCGCCACACTGCATCGCCACTGCACTTCCTGCAGACAAAACAAATATAGGTCAAAAACACTGACATTCGCAAGCCCAAACAAGAAAACATACAATTACTACCCATTTATTTCATATTTAATTTACGATTAATTCCAGCACGATGTCTGCCTTCTAAATTAAATTAAACCAGATTAAATCCTGAACTATTAGTTAAAAGGGAAAAATAATTCAACCTGCTGATTAAATTCTGGATGATTAATACAGCAACAACGGATGCGAGCTCAATGCGCCACATTCGCAGGAGGTTAATTGCAAAAGCCTGGACGCGTTGGCGGCCAAGTCAACAGCGCTGCGGCCCGGTTTGCTTTGCCGGTTAGAAAGGAAACGGGGCCATGCACATTCTCACACCAACCCCAATTATTTTCTGAATTTTCCCCTACAACAGTTAACGGGCTGCCAATCGATGAATCGATATTCAAGCGGCTGCCTCATCTGGGTTCACTCAACCTAAAGCAACATCACTCCACGTACTCATACACAAACAGCCCGGTAATCACGCATCCCTTCAACTGATTCCCAGGACGGATTATCCTCGAGTGTTGATCTGGCTGTCCAGCAACCGGAATCTGCGCACTGCACACGTCTCTGCGACTCAACCAGCTAACGAACTTCCGCTCGGACAAGACACGCTACCTAACCGACAATCTAAAGACGAACGCTACCATCAACGTCACAAACAGCGTTCCTCCACGCACAATACACCGCTCTTGACCTTTTTCGAGTGTGGCAAAAGACAACGAGACCACCGGGCAACAATAACCGGACAAAAAACTCTATGCACAGCGACTTGAAAAATGCCAACTGCGCTGAAAAGATGCAGTGGCAGCAGCGCGCGGGACAGTTGATTGTCACACTGTCATGTTGGCGACAATTCAGCTAATTATGTCATGCAGTGCTCACAACAGCGAATATCCAATTATCCCTCTCAAAAACACGCCAACAAAATTGTTAGAAAGCTGCGGAAAACATAAAAAAATATTTTTGGACAAATTTGTAATAAAATACTGTTACTAATTGAAGAATTACTGATAAAAATATTCCCAGTAATTTACGGCAATAATTTAACGCGAGGTTCCCAGTGGTTCGGTCCCTTTGCGGAAACTCATATAACACAGTCATAACACGACTTCATATCAAACTCACTTGAAGATACATCAGGAAAATGATTTTTCTACACTACAGCGTTAGAAAAAGCTTTATTTTACTCACTGTAAATTAATTACGCGATTTTAAAGTCAAAAATTTCAGGTTGAAATTTAGAGATTACTGTTCATTCAAAAAAATTTCTGGAAACGCTGTTTGGTGCGGAAACAGTGTAAAAGCTTATCACACATTGGAAATCCCAATATCGTTGCTATTAAAAATTTAAAGTGTAAAAAACCGATCCAGGGGTGGTGGGGTGGTGCCGCCCCTGAACATTTTCTGCTATAACTCTTAAAGCTTACGTGATATCGAAAAACGGTATGTGTAACAAGCTCAGCAGGTAGTGTTCGATTTATTGAACCTTTTTGAGTAACCTTTTTATAACGCGTTGACTTGTTGTGAAATTAAGTTTGATTTCTCACAAAACGCGTTTAAAGTCTACCGCGTTTTGTTGCGCTACCTTCACTACAGAAAATCTTCAGCTGGAGCGCTGAGTAAAGCAAATGCAGAGACAGCAGGGCTGGAGACGGCAGAGTGAGCAGACGCGCACGCCGCATGCAAAGACAATAGCCGTCGGTCAACTAAGTTATCACACCATCCTGTCACTAACAGCTTTGGCTCAGCATTCCTTTGAAACGGCTGATTACTTCACCTGCGCTAACAATAGCTTTGGATCAGAATCCCATCCATCGCTCTTGACCATAAAAGACCGGATTCATAACTCGGATTGCCTAAAAGCAGCGCTAGCCGCTTTCTCTCTGTTGAACAGCGCTTCCCCCTTCGACACTCATAACGGAAAATTGTTTTTTAACGTAAACAATTTTTTCACATACATGATAGCGCCATATTCTGATAGAGGAGACTTTATTCTTTACAATGAGCTATAAACCCCAAAATGAATTTCCACTGGGAACCTCGCGTTAAATAATTTATCGACAAAATAATAAAATAGTTATTAATTTAATTCATAGAAAACACTGTAAATAACTGAATAATTATTGATAAAAAATACGGTTAACAATTTATTAGTTCTTAATAAAATGCGGTAAATAAGTTATTAATTTTCGTGTATTCCTGCTAAGCCGCTGATACACGTAAAGTGACTAAACGCTCTAATATCCAAGCTGTTCACTTTAAATCAATAAACAGATTAAAAAAATCCCTGTCAACTGCAACACTCATCAGGCGCCTGTCAAAATAAAGACGCACAATCTGCCTGTAAATCCCCCGGCTTTACACTCACAAATCACTTAAATCAGCAATTTGTAACAGATTCCCAGAGTAACGAAATTCCTACATTTTTGCACGTACCTGGCGCTAAAATTGCGCACATGACAATCACAGCCACAGCCTTCTCCATCATTTTCGCCACGTCCACACGCAACGCCATTATCCTCTGCAAAAAAATACTATCTATAAATAATCCTGCTAATAATATGATTTTCCATCGGTTCCTCGCGAACGATAATATTCAGTTTCCTTTCCTGGTAATAAAAATGGATAAAATCGAACGAAACATCGGGTAATTAGCTGCTGACGCGCGCCACTTCCCTGTACTATTCCTACGCTATACAACGAGTTCAAACCGCGTCGGCTCGCACAACAGCCGGATTTAGCCGTCACCGTACGGCGCACATCAATCACAATTTCGAACTGTTATTTTTCCGCGTCAGCTGCACACATGCATAAACAAATAAATTGCCGGCACCTTCATTCACACTTCCGTACACCGTAATCAAGCCTGAATTTTGTCGCATCAACAAGCAGCGCCGTGATCGCACCCACCTCATCAAATTCAAGGACCGCCACAAAAAATGATTACCATGACAGAATTACTCACCAGATCCCGGATGCGGAGAGGTGTGTTAATCTGACTCTTCACAATCACTGCCAAAATATTACGGCGGCCAACAGGAAATCAGCTAGGAATAATTGCTTCAACAAAAAAAAAGCGCAGGAAGTCCAGGAAAGACAAAAGGGGAAATGGAAATGTGGAAAGAATCGAATTAGAAATGCTGCACGGCCAACGAGCGATCGGCTCGCGATAAAATCGCTGCTTGTTTCGACGCAGACGTTTGATGCGCTCTGATTTGGCCGGAATGTAGAAGGGAAACAGACGGAGTGAGCAAGTGAACACTCTCTCTGTTCCACTTGCCTAAAAGTGGGCCATACGCTGTACCGCCGTGACAGCGTACGCGTTTAGCCGCAGCTACGCTACCGGCGCACCGCACGCGCGTAGCTGATCACGCCTAAATGACCGCACGCGATGATTCATGCATTTGTCAGTGTCGGGCATGTGATTTACTTACCAATCTGATAACAAAAGTAATAATATTAAATTTTAAGTGCAGTGATGCGGTCATTGTGATCACATCAGAGCAATGTCAAAATTTCAAAAAAGCATCAGGAAAACAGGAAAACCGGTTTAAGTGCACGGTATCTTACTCCGAATACGGGCGCACTGACACACAGATACACGTACAGTACGAGTACAGTATCTGCGCTTTACTGATGTACAGTGTACACTGTGACTGTAATTAACAATACAATCGTTATTATTTCAAATAATTATATAAATTCATAATTAAAAATAAATAATTATTATGTACTGCGAAAAACATTCATCTGTTATCTGTACAACAACCGAGTACAATCTCGTACTTCCTGTATATCTTCATTTGCACATTCCGTGATTTCCGTCCTAACCTTCCAGATCCTTATCATTATTTTGGCAAATTTGCGTATTACCTGGCAAATATTTTCAGTTATCAGTCCATCTCGAATTAAAGAAACAAAACAACGGAACGAAAGCGGAAAGTCTGAATCAACGATAGAAAACTGAAAACGTGAACTTTTTGACGACGGCTTGGCGGCTTGCGACAGTGTAGCGATGATCGGCTCACCATTTTCGTTCAAGCCAGCTTTCCACAAGCGCAGTGAAACCTGTCCAAACTCGCTGGAAATTGTCCATCATTTTTGTCTCGCTTGCAAGCTTGCTCGCCAGTTTGCAGTTTCGAGTGTTTTGTGGCGCGGCTTTCCCCTTATTTACTTCTCCGGATTCTCCACGATATTTCTCCAGGATCCAGCTCTTGCGCTTAAACTGTTTGGTCACCAAACAGTTTAAGCGCAGTTTGGTGTTCTGATCTTGCTTTTTTTCTTGCTCGTTTGGAAATGGATTTGGGAAAGGTACGTGAGCGCAGTGCTGGGCAGTCCGCAGACTCCACGTAGCACGTTTTCATTGGCAGCGTTTCCTTTCCCTTTCTTCCGTCTGTGTTTGTGTACTCCCTGTCTGTTTGTGTTTAGCGTGCATGAGCGTACAGAGTATTTTAAGGATCATGTAATGCACCGGTTAAACTTAACAGTGAGTAGGCGTCAGCAGTGAGTCTAGTGACTCTGTGACTGACAGCAGAGTTAAGGTGCAGTATCTCGCAGACCGCGAACTCGGCACAGCTGGTTTCTGCTGGAACGATAGCTTGATTAGATTCTCCACCGTGAACTGCTCGTTTTCATGTACTGGTGCAAGTAGGAATAGTACTGGTGTCTGTATTGTATCGGGAAACAACTGACAGGACATTAAAACACGTGAATCGGTCTACATATTTCACTGGCCTCGTTGTGGTTGCAGCGCCGTCGCATCAGCCTGGCATCCCTGCAGCGCATCTCGCGGGAGCATGCTGCTAACCTGGACGATCGCTGCGATAGCGTCGATGTGTGGAGCGACGACGGCCAGCTGCAGTACGGGCGGATCGTGGATGCAGCCGTCGGCGGTCTCTTCATCGACTTCCTCTGCCCGGATCGCCGCCGTCAGTTCGTCCCATTCGGCCGCCTCTTCCGGATGCAGCACAGTTGGGATCTGCGGGAACACTGGGGGCCGCCGCAGCTGGAGGTCCTGTGGCGCGCCCACCCCCGCGGACCCTGGACCTGGCTGGGGGCGGAGCTGGTGGTGACGGTGAAGGAGGGCTACCGTCGCATGGACGCCGCGTTAGTGCGGCTGTACGACGCCGCGGGCCGGGCAACGGGGCCCTTGCAGGTCGTCCCGGCCGCTCGGATCCGTTACCCAGGCTGCGATGCCGTCGGGGACAGCGGGAGTAGCGTTCTGGCGGGAGCGCACGGCCGACCACCCGGGGAAGAGGAGCTGCGGCGCTATTACGGGGAGGATTACGCTGAGCTCTTGGTCGGTCCGGAGACGTTCGTTTTCAGCCGGCTGCAGCTGCCAGCGAAATGTGCCGCTGCAGCGGAGGAGACGCAGCGCTGCCTGATGGAGCGCTGCCTGTACCGTCCGAACCGGCGTTGGCCGCCGTTGGAGTTTCTTCGTCGGCTGGATGAGGGCGGCACATGGCTGTATATGGAACGCACAGACGGGAACAATTCGTGGGTGAGTGGGGAGGCCTGGCTTTTGCTGACTACCCTACAAAGAGTGTAACTGCTTCGTTTGCAGATGGGCTTCCGGGAGGCTGCGCTGCGTCTGCCATTGGCGCTGCCGCGGATGCTCCGCATGCTGGAGGTGCCCGCGGCCGTGGAGGCCACCGCTGGCGAGGGACTGCAGCAGCTGCCGGTGGTGTTGCTCTCCGCGGTCTTCTCCCATCTGGACGCGATGGAGTGGACGCGTCTGCGCCCGGTGTGCGCCCTCTTTGACGCCGTCCTGCAGTCGGCCCCGCTGGCCGCCGACCTCGTCGTTAACGGCCGCGACGACTACGCCCTGCTGGCCAGCCTGCTCCACGCCTTTCGCTCTTCCGTCCACCGTGTCGTCCTCCGCAACGGTGATCTGGACAGCCTGCTGAAAGTGGGCGATTTGGCCAAGCACTGCCCGGGAATGCGTGAGCGTGTGCCCACCATCTTTCTCCCGCGGCTGACGTGCCGGCTGTCCGTCGACGCCTGTCCGCACAAGACGCGCTCGGGCATGGGTTGCGCAGTGGGGGATTTGGCGGAGGCGCTGCGTCGACTGCCGGGCAAGGAGGTTGTGCTGTTGCAGTGCCGCGTCGACCTGCTGGACGTCGACAGTTGTGAATACGAGGAGCAGCGTTTGCAATGCCGCATGGACACGCCGGTGAACATTCCCGTAGCGCGTGTCGAGCCGACGAGCACGGGGTTGTTGCGGCAGGTGTGGGATCTGCTGGAGGCCGGGCTGGCGTGGACAGCGGCGACGGATGACCAGCAGCGCGCCGCGGACTGGCTGGCGGAAATGCGAGCCAACCAGCAGCCACTGGGCGAACGTCAGCGCCAGCTGCTGGACACTCTGGGCAAAGTAGGTCCATTTTCTTCGTTCTGTTTCATGAAATCGATCGTTCTCAGCATAGTCGACAACAGAAGAGATCATACGAATAACCTATACCATGGACAGGGGAGTGTTGAGGTTGTGTTGCTTGCAGACGGTGTGTGCGCTGGAGCACGCGCTGCGCCGCAACGCCGGTCCCCCGCTGTACGCGCAGTGCGGAATGGCCCTGCAGGGCGTGGAGGTGGAGCGGGCGGCGCCGCTGCTGCTGGCCTGCCTGGTGCAGGGCGCCCAGCAGTGGGAATTGCGCTGCGACGGGGCTCTGGAGGGAATTGTCACACAGGAGGCGGAGGAGGACTACATGGCGCCGCTGAAGGCCCTCGTGGAGACGCGCACCTCTCGCTGGTGAAGGGCTCCGCGGCTTCTGTCTTTTCTCTGGTTTGTGCCGCGTCCGCACTCCGCAGCGATTTTTTAAGTATTTATTCTCATCTTTCGCGGATCGGTAGCGGGTTGTTGTCTGCGGTTCAGTTTGGCAGAATTTTATTTGTGTTTTTTTGTGATTTTTCTGGTGATTTTTCACGCACCGTGCCGGTCTAATCATTTTTTGATGGTCGGGTAAAGCAACGGAGAATTTTGCGCCGGTTCACACAGTACAGAGTTTAGAGATTAATTAATAAAGCAGTAAATATTATCAGCCCTAAGTCGTTCGCATTAAGCATAATAATTGTACCAACTTATGCATCGCGCTTTCTGTAGTCTGTAGCTTCAAGAGCATGAAGACCGATAGTGCAACTGCATACCAAAAATCAGACCTGTATTGTTTCTGGTCAATAACCACGGCAAGTTGATGCTGGCGGCGCGCGGCAAGAAACTCGTGCACAAGCTGCCACCCACGCGCGGTAGTGAGCATTTTGCCAAGACGGGCGGTTCATTATGTACCTGCTTGGCCAGCTTGGTTGAGGTCGTTAGGCAGACTCAACATACAATGTGCGCGACACTATCAGCAGCCACACTTAGACAACGTTCGTCGATATCCGCGAAATTACAAGCACCAGCCAGTAGACTGTGATTCAACCGGCACACCGACAATTCGCTAACCGACAACTTGCTAACGACATTTTGCTGGCTCGAGAAAACCAGGAAACCTAAGAACATAACAAGAATTTAAGAAAACTCAAAAACCAACATAGCGAACCGAAAAGCAAGTTGCCGGTCAACAAAAAATATATGTTTCGGCGGAACGTCGGTCATCAATTTAGCAGAAAAGCAAGCTGCCGGTCGGCGAATTGACGTGCTACCTTTTCAACCCGCTAATATATTATCTTTACTGAAATATTACAGTAGCGAAATGGGCATTGGCCATCTGGCAAAATCAATTAACAACCGACTACGCCATACCCAGATCCAGCCGGCCGATTAAGCGGCCAAAGTGGTGAGAACATGGAGGTAGGCGGTCTGCCGGCGCCACACTTCCTCACTGGCGTCGGGCCGCACCCAGCACTCGACGCGCGCCGACGTGTGCAGGTCCACGCTGTAGACGACCAGCGTGCTGCTCACCGTCGTCGCCGTGCGGTTGTACGCCACGCCGAACGTGAACTCACGAGCCGTGGAGATGCCGTGCAAGGGGAAGCCGCCGTGCCGGCTCACGACGTCGCCGGCCAGCGCCCGCAACGGGTGCTCCCCGCGGGTGGCAATCACGCGGCCGTTCAAGCACCACACAAAGGTCAGGGTGTCTGTATGGGCGACATCCCGGGCGTTGGCCACGCAGCTCATCTGGACGTCGGCCCCGCGAAGCACGCTGACGTTGGCCAGGGGGACCGGGAAGAGGTCGCCGGCGGAGGGGAAGACCAGCAGCCGGAAGTGCTGGGTGTGGCTGGCGCAGAGGGGCGCGGCAGCGGGCTCCAGCAGCGCCGGCAGCAAGGTCAAGGGCCCGAGGCAGTGCTGGGTGCAGGTCACGTCGCCGCTGGCCTGCCAGGAGGCGTTTCTAAAGGTCAAGGTCACGCTGACGTCGGCGAAGGGGGATGCCGGCGCCGGGCGGGATTGCACGGAATGCTCGAGGTCGAAGGTGCCGGGGTGAACGTTGACGAGGCGGCCGTTGCTGAGGAAGGCCAGCGGCCGCTGCCGGTGCGTCCAGGAGAATTCGGGGAGGTGCTGCGGAAAGGTGTAGGGGAGACTGTGCGCCGCGCACACGACGGAGGCACTGGCGCCGGAGTCGACACGGACCAGTTGCGCTTGGTTGCCATTGGCGGTGGGGATGGGCCCGTCAAAAGCCAGAGCAATCACATCACTGTCCGGGTCGTGTGTTGCTTCCTCCACGATGCGGTCCACTGCAAGACGAAGCAGTTACAGTAATTTGCTAAGGCATAATAGTTAATTACAATATATAAGCCCAGCACGGATGTGTACTCCTGAGTTTTTTGGGCATTAGTGCATTAATTTTATCTGTGCCAGGGTTTTGACACCGGCTGGTAAACCAGTCAACGTAAAATTTATTTAGCACGAAGACCAGCCAGCCTATGTAACCATGTCGCCTCCATGGTGATAGCCTCCTGAGTGGCCACGCCCCACTGGGCTTAGCAAAGGAAAATGATAGAAGGTCAGCAGTTGGTCAACACTCCCCGTACTGTGAGGATGCTGCTGCAGTTATGGCGAAGCAGTTAAATTGGATGAGTCTGAAATGATATGCGTTAAGAAGGCGACGGGCCGAAATCCTGGCACAGATGATTGCGAGTAGTGTGTATTCAGTAACGGTTCTTACGGTAAGATGCCTATGCAGCCTACGATGCCCTGTGTCGCACTATGAAAACATTGGGGTAATGCCTCATGGGATGCACTAACAGGTGGCGATGCTGTAGGGGTGCGTGGCGTTGGCGTTGCGGCCGGCCTTCGGTACCGCCGTATGCGTCGGGCAGGCGGCCGATGGGCAGCCAGTCAGAGACAGCAGCCAACAGGTGACCAGCAACACGGCTACACACTGCAGTCTGCCATAGAAGTACTGATCATTGACCATGGAAGCCGCATTTCGTCCTTGTACGCAGAAAATGAACGATAAACAATTAATCATCTGCCATCCAAGCCCAGCACGTGGCACGCGTTTCCGGGACATCGAGCATTGTGTTGCCGTGCAACATCTTTCATGGCAGCCGCATCTGGCTTTCCGCGACCAGTTGCTACAGAAACGCAATTTTGTAAACGAAATTTTGTCAACGAAATTCCGTAAGGGAAATTTTGCTGAAGACAATCTGCTGACACAAGAAAACAGTATGAATCAGTACACTAGTACACGTCTGCGATTTTTGCCAGCCGGGCTTTGCCAGTCCCAACACAAGATTGTCGCCGAAAGGTCATCCGTTCCTCAGTCAGAGGCAGCGACAGAGGCACGAATGAGGAGGCGCAACGCTGCTGATGTGGACCATGGCGTCGACGGCCGACGGCCGCGTCACGTTGCCTTCTCCTCCGGCAGCACACGCTGGCTGTCGCGTCACCCTCCCCACCACTTCACGAACGTCGAAGCTCGTCATCTTTAGATCCTGACAGGCACCGGCGACAAAATGGGCACTTCAAATGGCATCACCTGTACTAAACCACTCGTTGTAACTGTCAAAGTTTGCAGCGAGAACATGTGTTGATTTCAGGCACGTCAACGTGTATAATTCTTACATATGTAATATGAATATGAAGTGTTTTAGCTGTGTAATTTAATTTTTGTTGGAGGTCATGATCACTGTCAAATAATTATGAATATAAGCTGAATAAAAGTTGCAAAAAAATAAAGACAGGCGAAAGTGTTCGGGCTGTTTGCAGAGTCGCACGCGGAGCAGATGCAGAAGCTGAAAAGCGGCGTCGCCCATCTGACTTGCATCGTCCAGCTCCATCCTGGCCCCGGCCCGACTTGACGTACGCCATTTTACTTGAGCTCGCAGTGCATTTAATTTAACTGAAGTTTTTCTTCTGTTGGGTGTGAACAGAAGATTGACTGGCGCGCCAAACTGGAGATGCTCCCCGGTTAATTAATTTGGTTCTTTTAATTATATTTTCCTAATTATTGTGGTTTTTTCTGTATAGGTTGCGGCGACGTTTGGGCAGCGAAGGAGCGCAGCCGAGCCCGAGAAGCGAGGACACCTCGACGCCGGAATAGGAGGGACAGTTGGCGGGCGGTGCGTGCGGAATGGATCGGCTGCGTTGGTTGGGTTGATTATTGTTTTCAGTTTACTTTATACTTTCTGTTGCTTTTTAATGACTGCTCGGTTGGGTTGAAACGCGGCGCCCGCTGCACGGGGCTTTGTGATCTTGTATTCCTTTTCAATTTTTCCCTGTAGATACAAATGGAAAGACGAGAGCTATACGTCTGCGCTGTAATGGTCTTAAAGAAGAATATGCATTTTCAAAATACCAAAAATAAATTCCAATAGCCTTAAAAGTCTCCCCAGTGGAGTTTGGCTGCTGTTGGTTCGATAATGTGTGATAATAATAATACCGTAGCTGCGGCGTTGAAATGATGGCGAAGGTGCGTGTTCCACACTTCACTCGGCGTCGAATCATAATGAACGGCCCGGCCCGTCTTGGGTGTTAAGTGACTGTTAACAGTCAGATGAGCTGAATCGAATTCCTCGAGGCTATGCACTCATTTAATTCGAATGCGAAACAAGTAATTCATTCTACAGACTAAGTGCCAAGACGATCGACTTGCGCTATTTTCGAGTATTGTAGGTGGCAAAAGGTCATAGACGCAAGACACACCTGCGATCGGTGAGAAGAATGATACCTGGAACAAATCAGGGAGAACAATTGCTGATGGTAGTATTCGATAACAATCACACCGAAGACCAATTACTATACGGCCGACATAAACAGGGAAATGTTTAATTATGGCGCACTGCGGTGCTGGACAAACGAACAGTGGCGTTCACCTCGATGATCACTGGCCGCAGCTCCAGCAATTTCGCCAACGCATCTGTACAGTATAATTATATTATCGAAATGGCCACGCGCGAGAGTTTTTCCCCGCCCAAAAAAATTACTAACAAAAAGTTTCAATCTGTGTATTTATTACGATATGGCAAGTAATAATTACGGAAAGGTCACCTTTTATTGAACGAAACACAAAATCTAACCGTATCGGCGTTTCACATTTCTGATAATTCGAGTTTTCACAACTCTTAGCCGTTATGGCATCACAACTTAAAGTGGGAAATAGATGTGAATCGTACGCGGAGGTTATGAGAGCGCTTAACGCAGTGAGTTTATCTGTTGCGCAATGCATTTCCCCAGAAAGGCGGGCTAGAACTTCCTGCAGAGTTGGCTCTGTGCCAGGATATATAACGACCAGTTCTTCGCAAGGCCGTGTTTCCACATGCGGATGCATGACGAACCACTGTACAGCCCATGTTCACCGGCGTCAACAACTACGTTTGCGCGCTGTTTAACTGCGGCATCCCTGGTCTTGCGCGGATCTACTGTTCAATGGGACAAATCCCCACAGACTAGCTGGAACTGCAGTTACACTTCCAGTTTGACCATCCGGCATCGAGTACGTCCCGGTCTACGGACAACTACACGGAGAAAATAACTGCCTAATATGCTCGTTGTCCTTTGCCTATGACCTGTCCTGTTGCAATTGTTTGGCAAGCAGGTTCAAAGCGCCAAATACGCCCGGGAGGACGAACTGCGCCACTGGTTTTAACCTTCATCGAAACCGGCACATTGGCACCCCTTCCAGATCGCAGGGCCGTAATTGTCCAACGAAAACCACGGTCAAAGGTCACAATTGCACAGTAACGGCAGCAGATACGGTGGAAATACCCCGGCGGTTGCATCTGCCTAGCGGATACAGATCATTTGCGCTGTGAATATTGCTCGCATACTACACGCGTAGAATGGCTTTCGGATTTTTTCTTAACTTCCCCATCTCATGAAAAAATATAATTTGACACATGTGGGCGTGTGTTCGACAACTGAATCGAAGGAACCGTATAATTTCCAGTGGTCAAAAGTATTCCGCGAGATATTCTTGCGCGGATTTTTGTCGCTTAAACTTTTTGTTCGTAATTTTTTTGGACGGGAAAAGCTCTGGCGCGTAGCCAAAACTCATAGCGCGGGAGTGTTCTCGCGCGTAGACATGGCCATTAATTATTCCCGACGCCCTGTTAAAGCTGTTGAAGTAATAGAGTGCGATGATTATTTGTGGTACATAATATTTCTGTATTTGTGCGAACGAAAAACAGCCGCTCTTTCTACGTAATCCGTCTTTCTTAGGACTGTTACTTACTGCTACTCGTACAATCGGTGGGAAAATAAGAAAATGCAGCTGCGCATTGGTCGTTTTCGTCATTTCCGGTGGCGCTGCAGTCTGCAGTCGCCCTGCACTGTTGAATTGCTTCGCTGCAGTGACTGCTGCATAGCGCATGCCTGCATCGTGATGCATGTGATCCGCGCAGTGGACTCGGTTTTCCCACTTTCCACGCAACTGGAAGAACACATTGTGAAGAAGAATTGTCCCTAATGTCAGCCGTTTGAATGATTTCCTGACAATACGTGACAGTGCTGGAACTCGTAACCTGGCTGTGCTGTTCCCGATGGGAAGCTGAGTATCAGTGCGCCTGCGCAGTGAAGACCTGAAGGCGCGTGCAGTAGAACGACGCAGCTAATCTACTTTTATCTCCATGGGTCTCCCGATAGAGCCACGGCGCCCACCGGAGGCTATGTTTCTACGTTCTGCCACATCCTTTACTGTGACCGGCACCACTGACGGCCGCCGGACAATCGGTCCGTACCGGAAAAATAATTATTAACGTGAGTTGGTTAAAGCCCTGAAGCACCTCGGTCAGGTGCACTGTGCATCAAGTTATAATCATGTGGGAATCGTATTCAATTCAGACACTTGCACAGTACCGAACCGTACGACCGATCTGTTATTTTCCTCATAATTGTGACTGAGTGGGAGGTATTGTAGCGGTAATGGCTGCCATTGCGTCCCTGGGATCGTTTAATGTGGTTAGCGCGGTGGGCGGCCGTTAGTGGTGAATCTGCCGACGGCTAAAAATTTAAGGCTACTTCAAAAAAGTAAAGGGAGGACTATCGCATAGAAATATTAGCCGATCTTGCAAAAAACCCAAGGAATGACTCTTTTTTGGTCAATTTTTAGCGCCTTTCGCGGTAAACAGACTGTCCGCTCCGCGCTCCGCGCGTAAAAAGCCCTGTATTCCACTTTAATAATTTAAAATAAATACTCGGCGTATAGGTATAAACTTTATTACAGTATATTCCACGATACACACTTTTGCTACCGAATGCATTTACATGATTTACTCATTTATCAATAAACACTGCTCGAAAAAAAGCTGCGCAAGGACTTTGCAATAATTTACTATTCATTTTGTGAATTTCTAGCAATTTTGGCAGTAAAAATGTGCGTCGGCTTCGGGCTTCGCGCGAAAATTGGCAGTTAGTGGTGTGTTATTTTAACCGGCGCCTTAACACGCAAAATGGAAAGAGTTTAATTAGTTTTACAAAATTTCCAGCAGTTTCTGCAGCAGAATAATTATAGCGGGATGCTGAATGTGGACAAGGCTCGGTTCACCCCTCCGCGGGCTCCGAGTACTTGCGTTTTGTTATACGTACTCTCTTTTCTTGTGTTTATTATATACCGAGACATGAAATTGGTTCGATAGATTTGCAACACATTTGGCGACGACAAGAGCGACCGGAAGCGTGGCGCCACATAAGACCTTTGCAGAAACCTTCGATTGTTTGCGATTCGCGTTAAAAGCAAATACCAGCATCCCGTAGAAGACGGCCGAAATGAGTGTAAGACGAAGTGAATCGCGGCCGAAGTGATCGGCAGCCGTCTACAAATTGTAGATATAGTCACATGTCGAACTCTAATAAAAGTTTCCGATAAAATTTTATACTTATAAATTGCATTAGGTATAATGCGAGTATATAATTATAGTAGTCAGGGCAAGAAAGAAATCGATAGAAACATTACAGTTCAACCATAAACGATACAGCCCCGGTTCTCCGCT